GCCAGATTTAGCGAACAGAAGCCAGAATTCCTATACATAGGACACATACAGGTCCGATCTAGCTACAAGAAAAAAGAAAGAAAAAGCGACCTAGATCACAAGAACGAAAGGCACAAGGCCATAATAGAGCCTATCAACGCCTCGTAAATGGATTCAAAACCAACCATATCAAACGCCAGGCACCTTCCTGCCCAACACCGTCGTCCAGACGCAAGAACCGGCACAGGCAACGAAGCCCACGCAAAGCCCCAGGCGCGAAGACAATGCCGAATATCGAAGGAAAAGCACACGATGTTCTCGTGTCTATGTACATACATCATATCATATCAATCCCAGGGGCTTCAGGGGCTGTGCCTCTGTGCCTCTGTGCCTCATACCCGGCCCATTTGATAGGCTCCGGGAGTCGGGGCATTGTTGTAGCTAGCTGCTTGGTGTTGAGGTGTTTGGGCGCCAGCTCCGTGAGACCCAGTATTGGGAGTACTGGGAGTGCCACCCGAGTACATGGTGGCACCATTGAGGTTCGGCGTTTGCTGGGCCATGTTGTAGGCCACTGCGGGCATTTGTCCGTTGAGGCCCCAGATTTGGCCAGAATATTTGCTGTCATCAATTGACCCTCCGAAAATGAGCTGACGCGTCTTCCAGTAGATCTCGCCGGTCACTAGGGAGTCCGAGCCAGCCTGATGGGCGATTCCAACGCGCTTAACGCCGAGTTCATCTGCTATGTCTTGTAAACCAGATTTTTGGCCTAGGTTGGTCAGAATCTGTGCTGCGGCCTGGGTAAGAGGAGAACCATTGACGGCTTGATTGCGACCGGCGTGCTTCATGAGGTACTTAATATCGTAAAGTGACGGGAAGAAGATGGTCAGAAGCTTGTGGAACTCCTCTTCGTTTTCTGGAAGCTGAGAGCAGAGCATGATCTTCATCAAGTAGCCAAAGTCGTACCCGGAGTGGAAAGAAACCCAGTGAACGTCATCTAGGAGCACCAATCCAGAGCTAATCAAAAGAGCACCGAATTCGAAAGGATCAATGCCGTTCTTTTCGTGCATAGCAAAGTCGATTCCAGATTTAGCAAGCATGGCTGTTGACTCCTGGGCGTACATGTCTCCTTCGAGTGAAAATCGGAAGTTGAACTGCCATGTGCAGGGAGCGGGTACACCATACGCTTGCCCATTGGCATCAGTGCCTGAGGCTGGAGGAACCTCTCCTTCGTCGTTGAATAAAGTGATGCCTAGTTGAATCATCTTTAGAAGATCAACGTTGCACCGGAGGGTCTGATAATGGTAATCTGCTTTGTTCGAAAATGACCCGATCGGCCGAGCAACAATACCAGGGAACTCGGTGTCCTAGGTCCTAGTCAGTAAAGTTGCTATGTCGAGACCCGTTTTTTACGGAGACATCCGTAGTTGGTGCTTACCATGCTGATATAAGGGTACTTATCGACCAACTGCCTCAGCACCGCCATCTCATGGGCCAGGTTGTGCTTCCACACATCTCTGATTCTTGACTTCACGGCACCGCCCTTTCCTTCGAGTGCTAATCGACCGTCGTGACCCTGGTGTAGTTGTTGCTGTTGCATTTGCGCACCGCGCGCAAATCCCATCTGTGCCGCATGACTGGCCAGACCGGTGCCACCGCCATCACCTGCTCCAGCTCCTGGAAAACCGCCTACCGCCATTCCATTTGCAATTCCGCCGGATAGTGTAAAAGGGTTGATGTTGGTGTTCGGATTGCCCGCGAAGCCAGGATGGCCAAGCGAAGGGGGAGGTAGCGTATTTCCGGATTGTGCGTGTGCGGGGTGTTGGGATTGAAGGTGAGCTTGTTGTATGTTGTATGGGGCATTTAGGCCAGCTGGCCCATATCTGCCAACTGGAGGTGGCATTTTGTTGTTTCGAGGATGCGCATGGATGAAGTGACAGTTTCGTCCCTCGAAGGCGGGAGAGCTACTTGGTCTACCGTATTCGGTTAGCGCGGGTAATTGCCAAGCACACCTCTTTTCCTCATCTTCGGCTCCTCACTGTATCACTTTGCGGTTGATTGCGGACTAAGGGACCAAGTTACAGCCCTTCACATATTGTTTCTCTTTATTTCCGTCTTTCTATAATATTTCCTACCGGATAACTCCCACAATGCCCGCCCGCAACCCCACCGGTTTCGACCTCGCTCAGTTCAAGGCCGCGGCCTCCCCATCTTCCGTCTGGGCCAAGCGGGATCCATGGGCTCGCAAGTACGTCAAGGGATACATATGTTAAGCCAATTGTGGTAGGCACTAATATTCTACAGTGAGACCTGGCGCTACACTGGCCCCTTCAGCAGATTCAACCGCTTCAAGGGTCTCTTCCCCGGCTTCGGTATCGCGACTGTCGCCTTCGCTGGCTACTGCACATACGAGCACTTCTTCATGAAGGATGATCACCACCATGGCGATGCTCACCATGGTGACGGTCACCACTAAAAGGTTGTCTCTGGAGACCAATTGAGAATGCCGCCGACCGACGGATCATCGAGCGGAGGACGTATACCCCAGGCGGCAGAAAGAGTCGTCTCGCCTCCGCGAGAACCACAGCCTGGTTTTGGATCATAGCGCCCACAGATTTACCGAGTCCGGGAGCTTTTCGTGTCAGGGCGGAGATGCAGCTTCTCATGGCTCATAAGGAGCATAGCTTCAGATGGCGCTTTGGGTTTGATTTGTCGAATGTACATAGCTTTTGTTCCACTACTACAACCAGATGTTTCTTTATTGTTCGATCGTCGACTCTACACAGGGTTTCCTTTGTATATTATGAGCTGGTTATCAAGGTTGGTTTGGCTTTGAGCTTCTATAAACACGTAATATCATTATCGACATGAACCCCCACTATGCATGTTTGGGACCTCCCAACTTTTTTGTGCTAATTACTCCTCGAATACCAACGAGATACCATCATCACCGGCAGTGACAATGCGTTTTCCATCCAGGCCCTGTACGAAGCCCATGATGCCACCAGCTTGCTCGCCCTCATCATTTTCCGTGGCACCCATGTGTCCCTTCCACTCCTGCATCAATCCCTGAGAAGCCGCGGCAGTGCCACCGCGTGCGTCCCAACGTCGGACCACACCATCCAGGCCGACAGACGTGAGCATCCAAGAGCGGTTCTGGTGGGCTGCGGGAGCAGCGGCAAGGGGCCCTGAGACAGTTGCACCGAGTTTCTTGTTGCTAGGCAGGAACTCAACCTTGACAACGGCGGTCCCGTCGTGGGCATCTCTAATATGCCGACGTACCGCAAATCGATGAGCCGCATCGTACATCACAATAGAACCATCCACAGACCCGGAAGCAAGAAGGGTGAAGGGGGCCTGTGAGAACGACAGTGACTCAATGTTGTCCGTTTGGGTCTGCAATGCGGCCATAATAGTGCCTGCAGCGGTGGAACCGGACTGGGAGGCTGCACCCTTGGCCTTACCCTTGGTTGCAGGAGCACCTGCTGCGATTCGGGGGAGGCCGACAACTCTAATGTTGCCCTCGGCACCACCCACTGCGGCAATGCCACCACTGGGAGAAATGGCAATAGTATAGAGGCCACCCTCAACGGCAAAGCGCTGGTCCTCCCCATTCAATCCAAGAATGGCATTGGTACCTGGGGAGTACTCGATGCCAGCGGCGGCAGCAGCTCCGAATACATCATAAACAAAGAAGCTGCTGTCCTCAGAAACAGTTGCCAGCAGATTTCCATCAGGCGTCCATGCGCCTGCAGTGCATGACTCAGTGTGAGAGAAGAAGGTCTGGATGATGGAGATAGGCTGCCCGGGATCGGTATGATCGATACGGAAGACCCACGCGCTGCCGTCATTGGAACCGATAGCAATAACATTTTGCGTCGCTTCATTACCCTGCTGGTAGGGGCATACGGCCATCCAATTGATCTCTTCAACTTCCTGGGCCTCGCCAAAGAACTCCCATGCGAGTCCGGTCTTCTGGGGTGTGGTATCACGATAAGCTCGCAGCTTGCCATCCATACCAGCCGTAATAGCATACTCTCCTGCTGGCTCGGTGAAAACTACAGCATTCACAGTGTCGGTGTGCCCGTCAAGCTTAGCCAGAGGCAAGAGAGACTCACGCTCCCTTGGCTGAGGGTTCGATTCATAGCTCGATGGGAGCACAGGACGCGGTGCGGGGGTCGAGTCAAAGATGTAAGCTGTGTCATCTCCAGAACCGGTCATGACAATGTTGTTGTGAACCGGGTGCTGCGCAACACAGAATACAGAGTCTGAGTGTGAATCGAAGTGTGCCGCCGAGTCGTTTTGGAAGGTGATCTCATCTTCAATGGTCATGTTCTCGTCATCATATTCTCCTTCTCCATCCGACATATGCTGATCCTCATCACGATCGAAGATCTCTTCGGCGTCGTCAGCCTGGATATATTCTGCCTCTTCATTCTCGCGATGCGGGTCGTTTGAAGACATTTTTATTTTTTCAATATGTGGATATGTGGGAGATGAAAATATATTTTGAAAGGAGTGATGGACAGTCTTGATACTACCCGTTCCGAAACAATATCGAAACAAGAAATTGGTTGTTAAGGCAACTTGAAATGCCCTCGATCTTTTTTCTTTACCTCCCCGCTTAGAAATCCACCACCCCGCGGCAGATTATGCTCCGCCTCTTACCGCTTTATTGACCGCTTTTGCCTCAGCGCGAGACGCGAAATTGTAGGCGTTGCTGAATTCACGGGATTTTCTATGAATAATAATATATGGCCACAGTCCTGATTGTAGACTGTTTAGTTACAGATTTCATTGATTCTTTGAATTTTTCTAGGTATTTCAAGGAAAGAAGCGATGAACCCCCTGCAGGAGTCTTACCCGTGCGAGCAATGCGACAAGGTATTCGGGCGTAAACACCATCTGAAGCGCCATATCCTAACTCATACTCGCCCACAACTTCATCTTACATGTGATCAGTGCGGTACAGCCCTGACACAACAATGCTATGACCGAGGACACTCAGGGTCGAAAGAGCACAAATGCCGCTTTTGTCCAAAGTCCTATACTCGGAGGTATGCCAGAGTCTCTGTGCTACAGACACTTCCTATTCATACATCGTTCCAAATCTGATTCCCCGCAAAGACATAGGTTGGCGGCTCATTTGAGGAAACACCATGATGAAAAAGGATTAAAAACAGAGCTCTCGGTCCAGTCAAGTGCTCTATCTTCTCGAAATATCCAAGATCAGAATTCCATCTCATCAAACACACCTACATCACCCTTCTCATTGGACCTGAGTACACAGAATCGGATTGATGTCTCGCATGATGTTATGGAAACATCAGAAGACTCGGAGAATGAGATCAGCTCAGCATTACAAGCAAGACCACCTGCTAATACTACACGTGGCAATGCTCATGCCCCTGCTGTTCCTGCTGCCCCTGCTGCCCCTCCTGCTCCGACTGCTTCTGCTCCGACTGCTCCTGCTCCGAATGCTCCTACTCCGATTGCTCATATCGCTCGTACTGCCCCTGTTGCCCCTGCGGCTCCCGGTGCAGCCAGCTCTTCCAATCCAGTTCACCCCAGCTCGTTTAATCCAATACACCGGTTGAAATTGTCACTCCCCAGAATGCGGCGTGCAGATGAGCGCTTCTTGTTGCCTGAATCCCGTTACAACATGATAGTCAACGCCACAATATATACGTCACTTAAAGCATTTCTTGTGAGCGTGGGAGAAACAGAAGATGCGACATTTCCATGGCGGAGGGTCATCCAAGACTTTGTGCACTTGTATTTTGAACACTTTGACCATGAATACCCCGTGGTTCACCCATATGCACTAGAATTCGGGCTTGACAAAACCTCAATCTCGTGGATGGTACTTTTAGCAGTTGTCACTGTTGGGAGTCAATATAGCGCTTTCAGCAATGCCAGTATGTTTTCCGCAGCTTTCGGAGAGATACTGTCCCACGCAATAACACAAAACGTAAGTTTAATATCGGTAAAGACCCCTACCTCATATTAATCAAATTAGCGACCCCAAGCACCCGAAGCAACAACTTTATCCTATGCACAAAGCGTATTTCTTAGTGACGTCTGCCTGATGTTTGACGGGTCACACAAAGCGCAGTTGAAGCTGCAGTATGAGCGAAATGTACTTGTCACATTGGCTCGTGTCTTAAAGGTTGATCCATGCATGAATACAAAAGCGTCACAAGCTCCAAGACACTGGAAAGCCTGGCTGGCCAGAGAATCTCGTATACGTCTCCTTCATAGTATCTTTCGTATGTGCCCCTGCGAAAAGCCATGGGAGCGTGACTAAATTTTATCAGAACTCGAATGTCTTCAACTCATTTTATTTGATCGTCAGCCGATATTTGGGCAGCATGAACTCCCCGACGAGTTTCCCTGTCGTCAATCACTATGGTGTCGCAGGAATGCTGACAATTTCGTTCTTGTATACCAGTCTGATCAAGGTGAGCTAATTTTATTTGGTATCAACCAGATACCTTCGGAATTAACCATAAATTTTAGATCTACCACAATCTGCATCCACTCAACTTGATGTCAGAAAAGCCAGTGAAAGCATGGCAGGAATGGATGCCTATCGCCGAAATCTCTACATGCTGTCTCTTTACAGCGAAGAGAGATTGTTCCTTGACAAAATGTCATATTCTTCCATCTGGAAATCGAGCCTAAGTTCTCAAGTGACTGGCGTGTCAGGTCAGGAGCAATGGGCCCATCTTACATCAACCCATTCAGCTCTTCGATCAGTGATGTTCCAGTCGATGGACGAAGTATTCGCGGCAATTCCCGTCTCAGCCAAACCTGACTATATTGCTGCTCGAGATGTCATCCATCATGTACTATCCCTTCTCCGGCTAGTATCACTTCATATGCTCGAGTCATTTTCAGGTTGGCAAGGCGATGACTCTGCGGCCGATATGTCGGCAAATAACCTGAAACATTGGATGGAAAATGACGCACCTAGTGCTAGGAAATGTCTGTGGCATGCTGTATGTGTTTACAGCACACTGAAAGCAAAGCAGAAATTTGCCTGTCATGATCCTCTCTTTTTCCTGATTTCTTTCTTCTATATATGGGCATTCGATACCCTTGTGGTCGCTCCTGACCTCGAAAAGCCGCAAACTTCAACCAACGAAGTTCGCTTGTTAGATACCAGGGAAATTCAAATGTGGATCGCCGAGGGCCCGAATACTCGGCTCAATCTGGTTGGAGTCGGCAATCTGACGGGCAAGGCAAGCTCCTTGCGTCTGGTCACTGAGGTGTGCCAAATTTTCTCAAAACGCAAGTCCTGGGCTGGGCTTTGCCGGGGTCTTGCCTCTGCAGTTGATCGAATTCTGAGAAGACAGGCAGTACCCCAAGGAGCCCCTCAAGGCGACCCTCGAGGCGACCCTCAGGGAGTCTCCCAGGGAGCCAGCGATGGCGAAATGGCCTAAAATCTTTGTTACTTACACATGTATATTTCTTGAAATAACGGATTATCCATCCAAAGCCATGTACTTCTAATGATACCCAAAGCCTCTTTTACCTTCGATCGCACATACCGCCGATATCTCTAATTCACGGTTCCTGTATCTAATCTGGCAGACGAACTTTCAATGTTTCGGATGGTAAGTAAGTGAATATTGCTGTTCATACCTATCTGACGAGATAATCGAATTTCAGAGGCTTCATGAACCAGTGTTTTCGACACGTCTATCCTGAGGTCTTCATCTTGAACTCACGTATCAATCTGATAATTGGCGGTAAATTGGTAATATGAAAGAAGCTATTAACTATATTGAAGATTTGAACCATCTACCGGTGGATCTACAAGCTCTTCACAGGAGTTGAGGTTTCCTGTTTATCAGGTGTTTGATTTCAGCTCAAGACAAAAATGGTCCTTGGTGCTTCTCCCAAAGTTCCAAAAGACTAAGATTTAATCAAAGCTATGCCGGAAATTTTTAGATCTTGCTACCTGCCTTTCTCCGTGCCTCCTTCTCTTGATCACGGAGCAATCGACGAAGAATCTTACCACTCGGGCTCTTGGGGATTACATCCACAAATCTGATACCCCCCTTCAACCACTTATGACGGGCCTTGTGATCTTCAACGTACTTCACGAGAGCTTGGAGGGTTGATTCGTCTGACCCTGCCGTGGGAGACTTGACCACGATAGCCTTGGGGACTTCTCCTGCACGATCATCCGGAATGGCGATAACAGCGCAGTCTGAGACATCAGGGTGGGCGAGGAGATGGGCTTCGAGTTCTGCAGGTGCGACTTGCAGACCCTAGAAATGACGTGTTAGAGTGCGAATATCTCGATCAGCCGATGGCACCACGAACCTTGACCTTGATCAACTCCTTAATTCGGTCGACAATAAACACGTGTTCGATGCCCTTCGGGCTGACACGAACGACAGCCTCGTCACCCGTAAGCATCCATCCATCCACGAAGGTCTCTTTGGTGGCTTTATCGTTGTTCAAGTAGCCCAGGACGACACTTGGTCCTCGGACGACCAACTCGCCTGGTGTGTCATACGCTGTGATTTCCTCGCCTTCGGGTGTCATGATGCGTGCCTCAAATCCAGGGAGTAACGCGCCAGATGAGCCTAGCCAAATATCATCCATGGAGGTCGAGGTTACGACCGTGGATGTCTCTGTCAGACCTATGCGCGAGAATATCAGAGCTGTGTCTATTAGAAGCAAAAATACCACGTACCGTATCCTTGGCGGATCAAAATGTTTGGGTAGAATTTGAGGAAGCTGGCTGCTGTCTCCATGCCTAGAGGTGCTGCTCCGGTGAAGATACTATGCACGGAGCTAAGGTCATACTTGGAGCACACGTCTTGAGTGCTCAGCATGTGGATGATGATTGGTGGTACCTAAATGGTTGTGGTCAGCATTTGACAAATCTTCTAATCAGCAAAGCCATGCTCACCAGGAAGAGCGAGCTGATCTTAAAGTGCTGAATAGCTTTCAGGTAGGATTTCAATTCAAACTTGGGGAGAACGATTGTTTGGTCGCCTCGGTATGCGCCAGCATGGCCAATGACCACAAGAGCGTAGATATGGCTCTGTGGAAGGAGACCAAGAGCAACCTCAGTACTAGCGGGCTTTGTGCTCCCGCCATCTCGATAGCTCTGCTCAAATGCCTTGATTTGGAGGGTATTGGCGATCACGTTGCGGTGTGAGATCATCACTCCTTTCTGTTTTTGCAACACATTCATTAGGCCGAAGTGTTATTCAAGTTGTTCGGGGCACTTACCGGCATTCCAGATGTTCCACTCGAATAGCATAAAAATGCTGTTCGTCGGGCGCCCTCACCCGCGCTCCATCGCAACTGGTCCACTGGTGGTAGAGACTTGCCCGCCTCGATGAGTTCGGAAACGGACTTGTATCCTGTCGGGGGCTTCGCGCCCCCAAGAAGCTCCTGGGGTACATCGAGTAGGTAGATTCTGCTCTTCGGGAGACCAACTTTGGCTGCAGCTTCCAGTGAGATGGACAGGAGAGGAACGCAAGTGACCAGGGCTTTGGCCTTGGAATCAAGCAACTGGTGTGTCAATTCGGCGGCGGAGTATGATGCATTGGCGGGACTGAGAACACCACCCAATCTGTGAACGGCCCAGAATAGGGGCAAGGAATCGATCTAAAGGCAAAACGAAAGAATAAGCTCCTGGCTATTCGTCTTGATACAGAATTCCACCTACAGTGTTGAGCGTAAACACGGCCAATGTCTTATCCCATTCCGATCCTTCATTCGGCGCCCAGCCAAATTCTTTTGAAAGACTACGAGACAGGGAGTCAACACGGTTGGCTACCTCTTGCGACGAGTATGATTTCCCGGTGATGCCGCATGTGTATGGGTCCCGGGAGCCGGCGTGTGCCACTCGTCCATATTTCTCATTGAGCATAAACTCGCTGATTGGGATACTATCGGGGATTGGGGTCAACTGGCCCGACTCCTTTGCAGGTAAAAACACCATTCTTTCCAATTCTCAGAGTCGCAGCGATCGGTACAATCTAGGGGTGAAATCTCCAAAATAGGAAAGGTGATGTCGGCTGTTTTTAAAATACGGTTAGCTGCAGCGAACGCAGGGTTTCCAAATCTAACTCACAATTTGGATGCGAGTGAGTTGGAGAATAAAATCACTGGGAGATGTATGCAACGTGACCGTGCGGGGAAATCGGTAAACCATGCGAGAATCACGTTGGAGCACAGTAATCATTTGCTTTAGCCGAAATTGGGTAGCCGGTGGCTCCAATTCGTGAGACGGCCGACTCGGCGGGTATCTCTTGCGTGCTTAGCATATAGTTGGCGGAGCTAATGCCAAGACCAGAGATGCCTCGGTCTTTTGACATATCCGAGGGTATCGTCGACATGCTGTATATTATAAGTCTACTAACTTCGACTGTCTTACACTACATAAATGAAACTTACAATATAAAGCTGGAGTTATCCCGAAAATCTCCCAATAAACCAACAAATCTATCTCAACTTCAACGAAATGCAGAATGGCAAGATTTAAAGTGGCCTTGGCGTGTAGATCATTACCCATTAGCCCGGCTTGCCCCTTTTGGACTGGGCCGAGATATCTTGACTACACCAACACCTATATTTTTTGGAACTATTATCTATAGAATGCATTGACAGCTTCACATATTTGGAACTTATCATGCATTTCACTATGCCTAAAGTACACTAAATAATGCCTCAACTTACAGGACGAACAAGTTGAATGGGTCTAGATCAAGGATCTTGAAGCTTGACAATTCTGTGCTTCAATAACAAAAAAGCTATTCCCGTATTAGTATGACTTTTAGATCTATACCAGAAACCCACCGGGTTATGTATTATCATTCCTTCATGGGTAAAGTGGCCAAATTGGAGATCGGTCATTTTAATTGAGACACCACAGAGTCGAATGGCCAATCTTCTGGTACAATAGCCCGCTATACTCGCTAGTATTCACACTATACTGTCGTGGGACGTGCTGGTTAAAGTAATGGTGTGGAGTGCATATCATTGTTTACCACCTGCATATGATATATGATCGATCATTTTGCCCTTTCCATACTCCAGTCCAGTTCATATACAAGCCATCGATAACTGAGAAGATTATGTCTCGAGTATCCTGCTCATTATAAGCTCAATATCGTGTATAGAAATATATCTGGGCCTCGTGGCTTAGGTGCTCTCATTGTGTTATATACATATCAACCTCGGGAATCTCTCAGTGTCCATCTCACCCCAATTTGATACAATCCCATACAATTCCATTGCCTATAAATTGGAGTTCAGAATGAGCAATGAACTCCTTCGAGGGGAGCTTATACTACAATGTGATGTTGAAGTTTACTGCCGGCCTCACCGCGACCTCGACGCCGCTCTGGCAAAATATATCTTAAGCCCTCATTCAGCTCCATCGTCCTCCCATCTCACACTTCATCTCATCATCTAGCAATTTTCATCGTTCTCCACCATTGAATACGTTATAGAAGCCAATTACTCCCCCCAAAATTATATTGAGCACAATTGAAACACCAATTCAGCTTGTATGATGCCAGTGAGCCTTCTATACTGTGAGTTTGACTATCAACCTCCACCGCTAAACATGACTCTGTTGGCAGTTAAATATGTTCTGGGATATATCTGAATATGAATCTTACTTAATGCATGGCAAATTAGCTTGATTGAACAGCAAACTGTGGAATATGGCACCACGCCCTGCTGTTAATCGTCGCCAGGCGGTTGAAAGACCAGTGCGAGCAGGCCGCATTGCTAAAACAAAGAAAGAACAAGCAATCAAAAGTGAGCTGGCATTATTTTACACTTATTATAGATTAGAACATGCTGATACCAGATAGTCTCATCGGACCAGCTGGAAGCTGCTGTCAATGATCAAACTCTTGAGTCAGTTTATGGAACACCCCCAGCCTGGTCAGAGGTATGCCACTACTATTCTTTTATAACCCATGTGATATATATATATTGAATTCTCCGCCAGGGTCGTCAGCAACTTTGTGATGCAATTCCATGGTTCCGCTGCACCCAAGGTGCAATGTATCACACCGAAGGCTTCTGCTATGGCTTCCTCATTGATGCCGACGGGGGCACCCGTACTTATGTCGACGAGGAAATCATAATTACCAGAATGTAAGTATTGTGTCTCCGGAATAACGAGCTGCCCCTACTAACCTTTTATCAGCGGCGGATGCTGCACGAAAGACTCGAGGGGAAACCTGACCCTCGAAAAGAACCAAGATCCGGACAATGCACTTGTCCAAAGCATCATCGCCAGCCAAAATTCAAAGCTTGCTGTTGGTCTTGTTATTGGTAATTGATCAAGGATTATTTGGAAAAGAAACCCGCTGACCATCAATATAGGGAGCAAGAACAAGATTCTCAACCGACAGCTTCCGCATCGGTACAACATTATGGACTGGTTCCATGTTACCAATATCTGGTTTGAAAAGATTGGGAAGAAACACGGAGTCAAGGTCCGCTTTGAGAAATTGAATCTCGCGGAAAAGAGCTGGTGGGCGGCCAAGGACTCGCTCCCTCCGGTGCCCCTCGATGAACGGGACTTTGAAACAAAGCCCGAAACTCTCAAGTGCGAGAGATGCGCTACGGAAAGCGTTCGCTTGTACGAGGATGGATGGATGTGTCTTGAACCTGGTTGCGTCGACTTCTGGAAGATCGAAAACAATTCCCCTCCCGCTGAGCTTACTTTTAATCCTGATTTCCTCAGCTTTCGCAGTCATCCGGACCCAGCAATCCAGCCCCACTACAGTTTAGTTCCTGATCTGCTATCCACATTGGATGAGAATGCTGCGGATGTTAGCACATCTCGCATCGCGTGGAAGGGAATCGTGTGCCCTATGTGTTTCAAATGTATCCGACGAACTTTCTGGCAAGGCTGGAAATGCGATGATGACACTATCAACGGTGAAGAGTGTGCGAACAGCTGCCCATTTCAAAAACTCATGAACATGAACCCTGTTTCGCTCCGAGTTGTCCTCGATCATTTCGAGCTGGCCCCAATTAAGCGAGCAATTCTTTTTGACAGGAAGTTTAGCATTCCAGACATTGACGACAATGCCTTCTTTCCTTACCGGAAGCTGACTTACAAACTCGACGGAGTTGGCTCAATTACCCACTTTGTGTCCAACAAAGCAATCAATAGCCGGGCGAATGGACCGGATGATCTTTTCATCAATCTCCAACGTGGTGATTTTGGTCTCAAACGATTCCGGCTGCAGTCTAGTCTGGGTAAGTGGGTCTGATCCAAGCCCCAACAATAGTTTCTTACATTGGAACAGTTGCGGGTACATTGACCTCACATTTTGCTGTCAACTACGTAAGTGAAGAGACACTACCTTGGTATTTATTCTAGTGTCCATCGTATCTGACCAAGTGAAACAGGGTATGCCCTACAAATATGTTGTGTCTGTCGATTCCAAGGGCTTCGATGAAGCACCCAACGACATGCTCCACGCTTTAGGTCGTTTGTCGTGGGCAACTGAGAACGCAGTCGTCTCTTGTGGAGACAAATACCTGCCTCCAAATGAACTACTGACGCTTGGCTATTTCGAGGAAATGAAGATCGGAGTCAGTAAAAATTGTGAGATCGAAGATGACCTTTGCTAAAATATCTTCTCTCAGTTCCACGATGACGGCGAGTCCTCGCTGGGCCCCAGTATCGCCACATTGTCTCTTGGCGCGAAAGCAACCATGTTTGTCCGTATGAAGTACAAGTACTACAACGGTTCTACCCGACGGGCTGAGCCCAAGCAAATTGGGGCTCTTCTGCAAGATGATCCTGTTCTGAAAGATTGTATGTTTGAGGGTGAGCGTCGAGCACTCAAGGAGGAGTTCAACGCCGGTGAGATCTCGCAAGATGAGTACGATGACTCTCGCCGTGCTCTATCAATGGGTCGCAAGGGCAAAGAGGCCCCCGTTACCATCAAGATGGAACTTCATCATGGTGATCTGGTTGTTATGCACGGAGAAAATCTCCAGAAGTACTACGAGGTTTGTGGTTATTCTCCTCTTTGCCACCATTGAACATCAGATCTGACCGATATAGCATTCCGTGGTGCCTGAGAACAAGTTGCGCTTTGCTTTGACTGCGAGATACGTCAAGCCCGACTATGTTGATGCGAGAGAGATCCAGAAAGCCCAGTTCTCCCTCACACCTGACCAGATCTACGATGGAAAGTGATCACTATTTGCCGAGCGACACGATTTCGAAACATTTTTTCCAGCTCTGCTCCAACTTGTCAACTCTGATTGCTGATTTGAATGACTCGAGTACCAAGGCTTTATAACTACCATGGTATCGATTGTCGGGATAATCTTTCCATTTATGTTACCAATATTTCTATGATGTGCCCAGGTGTTTTGCTGTTTTCGCTATATACCCTACTGCTTATAGTTTTTTTTATTGTGGGCTTTCTATTATATCCATGCAGCGAGATCACTCGACCGCCATTACCGTGCTACCAATATTATATCCATTTTTTTGCTGATTTGTGACAAATTTCACCTTTGCTTTAACCTTTTTGCTTGGTAAGATGACGGACACCGACTCTAAGGAGGCCTTGGCATTTCATGAACCCATACAACCTTAGACGCATAAAGAATTCCATGTATTCTCAGACTAGAAGAGATATCGAATTCGTCTAGCCCTTGTAAATATCAAAATAATTGAAAGAAATTGTCCTAAATTATAAGGGTCCACACACTTTCCCCATTCGGTCGGCACTCCGACCAAAAAAGGAAAGAGAGATTTTCACTAAGCGGCTCCGGGACCCCTGCGATCGATCTACAATATCCTACACTTTTTTTTCATATTATTTTTTCAGGTATTGGAAGTACCAGGCCAGGGCTCTGCTAGTAAATATCAATGCCAAGGGATCACAAATTTATCTACCAAATGAATGACAAAGTGCTGCGAGCTGTAAGTACCACTATACCGCTTTGGGCATTCTTATACTGATGATATTAGTGTGACCTTTGCTACTCGAGAAAGGTGAAAGGAGTTAATTATATTCAAAGTACAGGCACTGATATCTCTTAATAGGTTCGCTGTGATAAGCAGCTACATTGTGCGAATTGCACCGACGCAGGCGTCGAGTGCAGTCGTAAAAGGTCTCACCGACCTCGCCAGCAATCATCATCGGTGTATGTTTTTATATGACTCTATCTCGGGTACATGCTTACCGGAGTCAATAGAATATCTGCCCTCGGGGAAAGATTGTTAAACCTGGAAAGAACAATCTCGGAGTATGATTGCTATTCATCCTTCCATGCTCCCATTGACTAACCAATTAGGGGCATTGAAAATAGCAGTCCATCAAATGTTACAGATCATTATGATGGAGGTACGCCATCGAAAAAAAGGAGGCTGTATCATGTCTCGCACATAAAACATGCTTCCCAATCTCCCCCGGACGAGAGTGCCATTGGATCGACCACACACCATGCAGAGAAGGCCAGAGCTGTTATACAAGGAGAGCTTGATGGAAATGACTGCATGGGTCGTGAAAGAAAGGCAATCCTCAGGTCTGCTCTACAATTTGTGGATGTTACGGGCCAGAGGAGAACCTCGATCATTGACAAGTCTTCCCCGCTAGAAGCGCCTCTGGAAGATTCTCAACAGGCTGGTCCATTTATTACGCCATCACCAGAGTTGCTTTACATGCTTCTTTCGGGTATGAAATGTTATGTTCGTTTCCACGGCATGCACTAATAGAAGTACAGAACCGACGCCTGCCATCGGACGTTCTACTTGCATACAGTGGCCAGATCACATCTCGGATAAAACACTAGAGAAGATGGCTTCAACCATTCTTAGTGAAAAAAGTCACGAGCATGGGCAGGTAGTTTACCAGTATTCTATATGCGTTTATGTGAAGGCCATCTTCCATCTCTACCAAAAACCGAGAGCATATAAGGATCCCCGCCTCAACGCACAATTTCTCAAGTCCAAGAAATTGTATGAAACGTATGCCTTCCGCGCTATCAGGAATCTCAATTTCTTGGGTGTTCCAACTCTTCCTTTTATCCAGTCGCTGGTATCTGCGGTATGTCACTATGCTATCTTGTATGAAATGTCTTTTATTGACCATTTAACAGGCATTTCTCATGCAGTATCTTGGCAACATGAGCCAATCCTGGGTTCTCAACTCGTACGCTGCTCGTCTGATCTCCGTTCTGGGCTATCATGAAATTCGCAATCCACACGGGAATTCAAACCTCAATGAGGAGATCCACAGTGCTGTATGCTGGTGCTTTTACCTTGACCGAACTCTGAGCACCCTTCTTTACCGACCACTGTCGCTGCCCGAGCCTTGCATCTCTCCCTATCTCAGTAGTCCCGACCAGTCTCTCCCCCATATCCCATTGGTACGAGCTTTATTCGACTTGGCCCAGGTCCAAGGAGAGTTGCTGAATTGCGGAAAGGCGGATAACACTCGCCAAATAATCGCCAACCATTCAAGACTCCAAGAACAAATGGAGGTCATACATTCAAAATTGCAATCTGTGCGTTTGATCAAATGCTTTTCTTTTTTCAAGCTAACCAATGATCCCAGGGTCGAGTCGCGGCACCAGGCTGTATCGCTTCCGATTGGATTGCAGCTGAATTTTGTTATTACGCGATTCTAGTTGATGTTCTTCGATCACGTTTAAAGTGTACATTTTCTCCTTTGACACACAAGGAATGTGTATCATATTCTCGCAAGTCTCTTAGGGCACTGCATCACCTTCAGAAAAACCTCGCAGATAGCCCGGGCTTCTCGGATCCTTATCCCTCCTTCCTAACATGGTTAGTTGGTCTACTTCATGTATCACCATTTCTTCCACTAATATCCCTTCTGTTTCCTTAGGACTGTTCTTCTATACCCCTTAAGTCCATTCTTTGTTCTCTTCTGCAACATCATTGGAGAATTAGACATGGATGACTACAATCTTATGCAAGACATCACGCAAAGCCTATCTCAGTTCACCACAAGTCCATACATCTCAAAGCTTCTGAAACTTCTGGATCACTTGCAGAACCTCTGCGTCCCATTGATCCAAGCTAAGCAGCGCATGGGCCCGCAAGTCAAAGTCCCTATGCTGTACCCTTCAATGACGGGGACCTGGTACGACTATCCGGCTAGTACTGATGACCAGGCACATCTGTTAACGACTGGGTCTCCCTGTATGGATCCGGTTGCGCAAACAAACCCTCAGAACTTGCCAACACCCTGTGATGGAAGCTATTCTGCTGACGATGCGATGATGTGGCAATTATTTAACAGCGAACTCTCGCTCGATTGGTTCGAGTCTGATCTTTTTTCTTATTGAGAATGCATTGTGTTTTTTGACATGCCTGTTTCAATGGAATTCCTCATTTATCCAATCCTTTCGTTTCTATACCTTCTAGTTCAAGGTGTTGACCGCTTGTTTGGTCTCTATACAAATAGTTATTGAGTATTTTATAGCGACGTTATCAACCATCGACTAATTCGATCTCTGAAACATCCGGGGTACCAACCACTAATCTCTGTGGTCGTTTTAGGCGAAAATATACGGAGGACTGTTGCCCAATTTCAGACACTGCATATTGGTGGATACAGTGAATATAGCGGGGCCAACTCAGCCTCTCAGCCTTGCGAGAAAAACGAAAGAATGGGGGCCATATGATTATTCATGATCATTCATGTTCTAGGATTTATGGCCCTCTGTTCACTACCTCAATGATATATACGATGTTTGACCTTGTTATCAGCAAAAGCAACAACAAAATACAGCGCACCTATGATGGCTCCGAACCCCTACCGGATCCCGGGGAACCTTGGAATAAACACCAATTAGTAATATGTCAGTAATAAGCTGAAGGTAAAAACATCACGTATATATGCCATACATATTACTCCTTTCAGAGTACTCCGTACCTCCGTACATGTGTACAAAATTTTTTGAAAACGTGGTCGTATATTCAGCCTCGTACAATAATATAGTGCGGGTGGTGACCCCCGTTGGCGGTGGAGACGGTCCCTCGACTTAGCGTGGGCGCAGCTGATGCGAATCCCAACATCCACATATTCCCCCCCCCCCCCCCCCCCCAAAACAACTCCTGGTTTTGCATCTTTACTGGACTTGGTTTCCCTATTACCAAGGCTAGTATATTGCGCTCAACGGTTTCATTGGGAATGCCCAGAGCCAGCTCTTCGGTAGCGTGTCACTGACCCGTGTGGTCGTTCCCCTCATTCAAATCAGTCTGATTTGCTCTAAACTATTCACTCTTTTTGTCATTCACTCGCTTGGTTGAGTGTCCCAGCTCTACGGTCCTGCCAAAGAATCCGTCGCGCAGTTCAGGGCGCGTCGAACGGAGTCAACATCTGGTCAGCTCTTACCTCTCCGCAACAATGTCGCAGTACCCAAACGGTCAACAGGCATACTACGGCCAACCTACAAACCCCCAAGCCTCTGTCCCACCGTCCACCGTCCACTATGACAGTTATTCGCCCCAGAACCCCACGTCGGACCAACATCTGCCTCGAAGGATGCCGAGTTATAATGCTGGGGATGATTCTAGATACTTCAACCCTGCTCAGACCCAGAATATGAGAGCGACCGAAGAAAACAGACAGTATTCAGCTCAAGGTGGTGGCTATGGTGGCAACGCAGAAGAGGGTGGCTACAACGCTTCGCAGGGAGCCTTTCAAGACGACAGAGACTCGAGATATTCGCGCACTTCCTCAGACACCATGTCGTACATGTCTCCGAGTCGCGCCTCTTCACAAACCTCCAGTATGTCCTATCAGTACCAATACTCTGGAGCAGCATCGTCATCCCAGCCGGCCTACAACCCGCAGCAATACGGCCTTCCACACACGCAATCACAACCGGTCCTGGCTTATAATCCCCAGACGTACACTGGCTCCAGCAATGCTTCTTACGCCGCTCCAGCCTCGGCCCACCAACCATATAATCCTGCAGCATACCAGTCTGCCACAGTTTCGGGGATGAGCTCTCCGGTTCTACCCAGAAGACAGAGCACAGCTTCGCACTACGGGCAGACACCGCCAACTCCACAATCGTACGGCTTCTCCCATCCACCCCCGCTTCCACCCCTTCCACCGCCGAGGGGTGCTGATCATCCGTATGGAGGACGTTCGTACCAACCCATGTCACCGAACCCCTTGTCGCCTACCCTCTCGCCTTCTTATGTGCCGTCAAGCTCCCCGAGTATAATGCATATGCCTCCGCCTACATCACGTCCGTATTACAGCAATTCACAAGAGGCTGCATATGACATGCCACCTTCCCAGTACATCCCAACGATCCCAAGCGGTTCCTTCGAAGAGCAGCCTCCGATGCCCCCAGTTCATCAGACTCATACAAATGGCCTGTACGGCAAACGGCCAAGTGTATTACATTCCGGGGCAGGGCGAGCCCTGCCAACTCCTCCCGTGCAGTCAGCATTACCAATCCGAACGGAAACTTTAACTCGCCATCCCCAATCGCGACCTCTTCCTGGACCACCAGTCGACGAAGCCGGGATGAATGGCAGTCGCTTGCCAGCGGAAACTCCCATGGCATATGAAGATGTGCTCAGAGAGGATGAGGCGGCAGCGTTGGACTCTCATGGCTTTGCCCGGCGTCACAGCTCTAGAGCATCCCATGCTAGCTCTGTTTCGCGCATGCAATTCTCACCTGATGAGGAACACACTCACACCAACGGTAATATGGAGACAGATGGCGCAGGGCATATGGTGAACTATAATGCGTACAGTGATGACGATCCCGAGGCTCTTGCTGGCTTGATTATGTTGCAAGAAGACATAGAGCGCGAGGAGCGTCTTCAAGGGCGGATGCGACGTGAGACCAATGCCTCGGTTTCCAGTTCACGCGGATCCAACATATCGCCAGGAGGGCATTCGTCACACTCTGATCCCCATGGAGATAATGATGTCGTCGATCTGGCGCAGTACGAAGGAGGCTACCAGTACTATGGCGAAGCGCACACAGGCTCTGCTGTAGGCAACGGATTTTCAGGCACATCTGGTGGTTCATTCAGAAGCTCTGTGTCTCCTGATGACCGTGGTGAGTATCTTGATGAATACGGGCATCCGCCTATTGCATATGCATATGCCAATCGCCTCCATCATGCGCCAGCTGATGCCAGAGTAGATGCCAGCGGCACAGGGGGGTTGGCGGCACCCGATGCTTATCTCCGACGGATGAGCTTTGACTATGGCGACGAAGGAGAAACACCATACCAGACCCATTCTGGAGATCAGTCTGACGACGAGAGCTCTGACCCATCCGCACACAAAGATTTGTTTTTCCACCCTGGGATGCATCCATTACCACCAGCACCTGTTCGGCCTGCTAGCAATAGTGAACTCTTAGCGCGTTTAGTACCTGCGGGCACATACAACCCTCAGTCGGGGCAGCAGGATGACTTTGTTGATTATCCACAGTACCCCTCGCCGGGCTCTGCGGACCCTCATGGCGATGATATGCTGAACCCGTCCCAAGTTCCGCGGTCGTCATCATTGTCGACTCCTATTGGCCCTCGTACTGATGCGCCTATCAGATCTAAGACCGATGCGGTCCGGGACCGGCTCAGATACAAGCAGCAGGAGCAAGAACTCATCATGCAGCTTCAGCATAAGGATCTGCCTCATCCAGATCCAGCGGCGACGCCTATGGGGCTGGATCTTCCAATCATCCCGGCTGGCCGGCGCAAGAAGTTCCATCTCGCGAAGCTGTCATCGGAACAATTCAAGAAGTGTAGCGAACCGTGGGCCTTGAGTTCTCTCTTGTCCTGGATTAAAGAGCTGAGTGAGGATGAGTCAGATCTCAGAGAGCAAACAATTGCCGATGCCATGGTCGCGTTGTTCACCCACAAAGTCCCGACCATGAATATTGCTGATGCCGAGACACTGGCTGCTCGAGTTGTGAGCGGTATGCTTGAAGAAGGTGCATTGGTAAAAGAAGAAGAATGGGTCAAGTTTGGCTCAGGCACACTTTCGGGTATCCTGTTCCAGATCACTGGCACAGGATGTTACTCTCCAAGGCTTCACTTACATGAGATGCACATTGAGGATACTGATAGTTTCGGTCGATGCTACTCGCATCACTGTATGCGGACATTGAAGAAAGTCAACCTCAAGGCACAGATGATGGCACCGCAGAAGAAAATCGAGGACTGGGTCACTTTCTACAAGGTCCCCAAGGAGATATTTGAAGCTCATCCGAAAGAAGAGGTCGAGCGACAGAACAATTTGCACGAAATTGTCACTACAGAAGACTCCTACATCGCGCAACTGGATGTCCTACGAGAACTTTATCGTGATCAGTTGGCTAAGATGAATCCCCCGATCATCCCGGCGAAGCGACTGCCCAAATTCTTGGCTGACGTGTTTGGCAAGGTCGATGCTGTGAAGAGAGTAAACGAGGATTTCCTGTTGGCACAACTCAAATACCGTCAAAAAGAACAAGGACCATTCATCTCTGGATTCAGTGACATCTTCCGGGAATGGATTCGCAAAGCTAAGAATGTTTACATCGACTATGCTGCAACCTTCCCAACGGCAAACTATCTTATGCGCAAGGAGGCTGAGCGGAACCCGCACTTCAAGCAGTTCTTGAACCAAACGCGGGACCACAAACTGTCAAGTCGCCTCAGCTGGGATACGTTCCTCAAAGCCCCGATCACCAGAATCCAGCGATATACTCTTCTCCTGGCGACTGTCCGCAAGAATATGGCCAAGGATTCTGAAGAGAAGACAAATTTGGCACAAGCCATTGAAGAGATCAAGGTTGTGGCACTAGACTGTGACAACAAAGTTGGAGAGATGAACAAGAAGGCCGACTTGATGGAGTTGGCATCCAAGCTGCAATTGCGACCCGACATGAAGAAGGAAGTTGAACTCAATCTCGAACACTTAGGTCGACAGATCATCCATCGAGGCGAACTGCAACGTCCTGGAACCCGCACAAGATTCCTTGTCGATACACACGCCATCCTGTTCGACCATTATCTGGTTCTTGCAAAGATATTCACAATGCGTGACCGGGCGGTGAAGTATGAGCGATACGACATTTCAAAACTGCCTATCCCAATGGACCTGTTGGGCCTGGAAAGCACCAACGATGATCCTGTGGTCAAATCATCTGTCAGGGGAGTTTCGACTGTCACGCCCTCTCAAGCGGGTGCTGCCAGCCCTCTTGCGCATTCAGGGTCTGGTGCATCTGGAGGAAACGGGGCTGTTGACAACTCGAGGGACGACAAGATCCTATACCCTTTCAAAATCAAGCATCTGGGCAAAACTGGAACATATACTCTCTACGCTTTCTCGGCACAGAGCCGCGTGGAATGGTGCCAAAAGATTATCGAAGCGAAGACAAAGCATGCTGCTGCTCTCTTCTCGCAGAACGCCGAGCCATTCCGACTGCGTGTCGTTGCGGACACTGCGTTCGCATATTCTGATCATACACCTGGCTCTAAAAGTGTGACTATCAAAGGCACTCCTCTTCATCGTGCGATCAAAGAAGTCGAGAAGCAACATGAAACCTCGAACACTCGCCCTCCAGCAATATGTAAGACTGCAGTCCACTGTGCCACGGTTTTCCAACAGCCGCCTGGGCGCATCATGTGTGCAATTGGCACAGAAAATGGACTATACATGTCTGAGCTCAATGACCCGCGGGGCTGGTACAGGGCCATTCCCATCACCCGGGTCACACAAGTTGCTGTGTTTGAGGATTTCAATTTGCTCTTGTTGATTGCAGATCGGTCTTTGATTGCATACCACCTCGACGTGGTCTGTCCCGCCAATGGGAAAGCCTCCCAGTCATCTCAAGATTCTGCTCGACGAGCCCCGCAGAAGCTGTCTGGAAACCGTGAAGTGGGCTTCTTTGCCGCTGGTCGTCTGAAGGATCGGTACTTGGTTATATACAAAAAGCGTGAGGGACTATCATCTACATTCAAGGTATGTACAGTTGCAGGCAACTCGATACGGCAACAGGAAACTCACACAAAATCTAGGTTCTCGAGCCCGTCTTGCAGAAGTCATCCACGAATAAGAGCCGCCTGTTCTCGCGTCGCTCACAAACAGAATTCTTCCGCGATTACGACGAGTTTTACATCCCTGCTGAAACCTACCGAATTAACATGTTCCACTCCTCGCTTGCAATCTCAACCCAAAAGGGCATTGAAGTCCTCACCCTTGACAAGAAACATTCATGGTCTGTCCCTGACTTTAATTCCAACGATACCCAAGATGCACACGATACCCTACACAGCATCGCCAATCGCATCAGTGGGCTCAAGCCACTAGGCATGTTCCGTCTCAGCGAGAGCGAGTTCCTAGTAGCTTACCAGCAGTGCGCTGTCTACGTCAACAAGCACGGCGACGTCTCTCGCAGTGTAGTCATGGAGTTCGTCGGCAGCGCACACACAGCCTGTCTCTATGGCAAGTTCCTAATTCTCTTCAATGAAGACTTTGTTGAAGTCCGCAACGCAATGAACGGCCGCTTACGCCAGGTTATCCCCGGCCACAACGTCGTATGCATCGATGACGGCAGCAAAGTGCCTGGCTCGCTCAATGGAAGCGCACAGACCAACACCGGTGCCGCGATGAGTCTTTCCAGCGGCTTCTCCGCTGCCACCAATGATTTCCCGGCCCCCACGGGCCTAGGCAACACGGTCAAAATCTGCATGCAGCATCCAGAGTATGAGCGCCGCCAGATTGTCTTGGAGCTTCTCGAGAATGAGGGCCAAAAGGACTAAACTAAAATACCAGTCGACCGTTTTTGGGGCGCCATGATTCACATTTTGTTCTTCTTCTCTTGGAGCTTGCATCTACCACACGCAGCTGACCCTTCTTCCTCGCCAATTTTGTGCACCTTTCATTCGCCTAACCCCCTTTTCATCCCTTTCTACTTTTGGGCCTTCATTCGGTATCACCTTTTCTCCATGGACGGTGTCCCGATTCTCGATACCTACGCTTGTTTTATACCCTTTTTTCTTCTTCCCTTGCATCGTAATCACACGATGCCATTCTACTTCTACTTCGAAGGTTTGGTCGTGATTGATCGCTTCCATCCCCTGGGGTTGTTCCAGCCTGCTTGATGATAATGCTTGCTGTACATAGAAAACGTCATTACATCTCATGACTTGACGATTCTCTGAATTCAGAACACCTTTGCTTTACAGGCTACTTTGCCCTTACGAATGTTTGATTTTGTTGGAAACATATAGGTCTCAAATCTATCTTTTGATCTCGATATATTTACATGAATCACAAATACCCTGTGGAATTCGGTACATGTACGAAGGGTGCTTCTGTCCAATAAGCAAGAAATGATCCGGTAGTAGATTCTTTCTAAGAGGGATCTAAAAAAATCCAGTTTCTAGTCTGAGAGGCTCCACGCAATCGGAAGATGAATTCAAACGTCCAAACCAGGGGTTGTAGTACAAATTTGCACGCCGATCCAAACCAACCTTGGGAGGAACCGGCGATGAGAAAACCATATGGCCAACTGTATATGACATGAGACAGTATGCAAGAAAATCATGGCTCAAACTCGACGAGCTTGCTAATAACTTCGCCATCACGGACTGTGGGAGAGCCATGGCCCTTAGCAGAAGCTGCAGAGCCGGAGACCTTGCGAGGAGCGTGGTCCGCATTTCCGTCCAAGAGAGAAGTTCTCTCTTCCTTTCCGCCATCAAGTACCTCGGCCCCTTCAAGAAGGTCACGGTCAGCGTCACGGACGATGCTACGGCGCTCCGTATCAGCGCCGTATGCGCCAGCGCCCCAACTGGGGGTACCACCAGGGATAGCAGTAGCGCTGCTCTCACGACGGGGATAGTCATCATCATCCTCATCGTCTTCTTCTTCCTCGCGGCCAAGAGCGTTGCGCTCGAGGTCGCGTTGCGCCTCGTCCATTCGTTTTTTGACTTCGGCTGCCATGCGGATTCCATCTGAGACGATGTTGTCGAGGACGCCGCGTAGGCCCTTGCCTGGGGGCACGATGCCTCCTGAGGCACCGGCGACGGGGGCTGAGCCGGCGGCGAGTCCGGAGGAACGGATGCTGCCGAGGTTGGAGAAAGTTGTGAGGTTGGATGACATTGAGGAAGATGCGGCCAGAGCCGCGGGATGGGGGTGGTCGGAGAGGTGGAAGGATTGAGGGAAGTAGGATTCAAAGAACTGCTCTAGAAGTTCGTCGGCCAGGACAACCATTCGGAAAGTAGGGAGAGTGATATGCAGGGGGTTATTAGGATCGAGAGCCGGGTTGGCAGACTCAGATGTAGAGCGGATATGGTCGTTGCTGTCTGATTCGGGGGTGGTAGACTTGGCTGACTGGGGGTTTTCTGATGCTGGAGAGTTGGTGGATTTGGCATCATCAACATCAATCAAATCTTCTTCTTCTTCTTCTTCTTCTTCTTCGTCGTCGTCATCGTCGCCAATGGCAAATGAGTCCAGCTTTTCGGTTGCCTCTGCCGTTGCATCTTGTTGGGCTGTTTTTTGGTTCTCTGGGTGGCTGGGGTCGGCGTATTCGAAACAGCGACGGATGAATGCGCTGACACTACCGAGGAATTTCTCGTCAGTAGTGAGCGAGTTATCGGTATGGTCACGGTCTCCCGAGTTCAGATTTTCCACGGACGGACTGGCCGTGATTGTGCCCTCAAACCCACGGCGTGAGAGGAACAACAGCGCCTCGGACATTTTCAGGATCCCCTCGCGATCAACCTGGCCATTTCCACTGTCATCGTACAGGTCAAAGAAATAGTTGATGTTATTCATGATGTCGGGAGACCCCTTCAGGCGGGCGAGACCATTCACCACATTTTGAAGATTCAATCCCTCCTCGGGGTCTGTGGCCCACTTGCGGTAGAGGCGCTGCATGAACTCATGATCTGCTGGCTGCCTGCGATTCGCCCACAGGGCCGATTTTCCTGATGAGGATTCTTTTCTTGATGGTCCAGGGGAGTCGGCGACCGCCCATTTGGATGTGGCGGCTAAGAACTCCCGGAAAGCATCATAATCCATATGTGTAGGGCTAGGTCCAAGACCAACACGGCCGACTTGGGTATCCGCCGGAGGAGCAAGCATGGAAAGGCGTGAGGATTTCTTCCTCTCTTGTCGCTTTGTCTCTTCCTCAATAACTCTCTGGTGCTGCTCCCACTGGTACAACGTTTCATAGAAGCGATCGTATATCGTTCCAAGATCATCCACGCTCAGGCGTTTGCTTTCGGGTCCAAGGTTGCGGATAGAAGTACGCTTTGCAAAAGTCTCGATATTCTCTAGCACAGCACCCTTGTGCTTTTCGCGGGTCTCGGTGATCGTGCTGTGGGTGATGCCGGAAAATTCCTTGAAGGCAACCACCATTAATTCTTGGAATCTAGTGATGGCGCGCAGCTTGGGATTCTCTGATCTCGGGTGGGCAGATTCATCCAATCGTGAGAAATACGACTTCAAGACAGAGATAAACGACCCATCATCTTGTGTCTCGAGAAGCTCCTCGCCGTTCACTCGGAGAATGGCAAGGCCCACCTGGAAGAGGACCTTTGGCCCCTCTAAGAAAAACACATCCAAGACACGGAAAGCAAAGACCAGTGGCATGGAGTTAATATAGAGGGAGAGAAACCATGGCAACGATACTACAGAAAGCTGCACATCTGATTTGGTGAGGTGATCCCAGAGAACCGGCATTGTTTTCTCAACTAGAGACTCAAACACTTTCTGGTCGAGTAGCGTGCCGTACATTGTTGTTGAATAGTAACCGGGGAGTAAACGGTCACATAGCACAGAGAGAAGGAAAAAGGCCTGGGCCTCTGACATATATCTGTTCAAGTTAGCAGACGCCCTTGGCAGTTTGAGATTCTAAACACACATCAATAATGCGGCAACCACGATGTTCATGGCTTGGCAATACCCAATCTCTGGGTCTATCCAACTGTACGCAGTGAGAACTCGTCGCAAGCGTCCAATGCCTTCTTCGCTCTGGAAGCCAGGATATTCTGGTAAACTGCGATTCAAATCTTTCTCAATCTCGTCGATAGCAAGGGATTCTTGTCCCTCAAATTTGGCCAATGTCTGTTGATACTGCATCGGAGAATGTAGACGAAGGAAGAGAGAACCGGATGTAAGCTCCCATATTTCTCCGCGTAACCGATTGGGCAAGCCAACTCTGATTAGCTTGTGGAAGGTTGGTTGGCGAACCAACGTAGCATTGCGACCATTTTCTAGAGGATATCAGTCATATGCCGGAACATAAAATCAAACGAAGATACAAGTCTTTTACCTCTGAAATATTCGCCCCAAAGTCTCATCTTGCTACGATCACGCAGCTTGCGTGCATCGCCTGGGTAGCGGAAAATTAGACCCAGCCCCGCATCCGGGGGTTGACGAGTGTCAGTCTCATTCCCATCTTGTCCCTTTCCTTTTGCGCCCGAGAGCAGATATTCCGAATAACAATCCGAGACGACGGTCCGCAAGCTGTCAACCTCCTTCATTCCTTCCCGCAGGCCTTTTTTCAGCGTGTCACAGAATCGTTCGCAGGCCTGTCTGCTACCGACAAGCTGCAATATGAGGCGCTGGGGGGTGAAGTTGGGCTCTTGTTGCTTATAGAGCAGACCATTCCATGTTGTGAGCGCCAGGGAGAAAACATGGCTGGCGCTATGGAGGCGTTCGACACGTCGTATGCAGGATAGCGGGAGAATAAATCCATTGCCTGATGGTCCAGTGCCGTGGGTCTGGCCGGTCCAAGTGGTTGAGGCACTTGCTGTGGCAGAGGGAATGAAGCTCGTCGGCTGGGTTGAAAAGCAGATGAAACGTTCACTAAGATGCAGACGCCCAGCGTACGTATTTCCCGCCCGATCAACCCTGCGAGAGCCATCTCCTTGATTTGCCGATGAATTTGGTAGTGGGAGAACGAGATCGGCGGTGATCTCTTGGAGCGGGTTCTGGGAATCAGGGAGGCGGAACTGTTGCCGGAACAGCGATGCTTTGGAGGGATTATGATCGGGTGAGGATAGGGCGGGGATGTTAAAATTGGCAGGATCAATCAGGCTCTGAGCCTTCTGAACGAAGGATGACCACGGTATCATGTTGGAGAAGTGAAGGTGGGAAGCTGTGGGAATGTCTTGGAGCCGATAACCGATGATGTCGAGATCAAGCTACAGTTAGGGACTTTGAGCAGATCCGGGCTAGGAATAGGAAAAAAAGCCCGTGCGTTGTTTGAATTGAAGATTCAGGGTCATCGTACAAGCTAAATCATCCTTGGCCGAGGACTAGGCCTGCAGAACAAGAAGATCAAGTCGGGTGTTGTTGTCGGATTGATAAGAGGGGGCGTGATGATGCCAGCTTCACGTGACTGTCCTCAGCCTTATGCATAGCTTGGCATCACAGCATTCTCCAAAAGTTATACAGTCTTTGGTAGGAATTCTTCTTTTCGCTGTACCGACCTTGTTGTAAGCCGATAGATGTGAGGGGAAATGAAATCCATAGGAGACTTTGAATAGTGTAGTATTTATATTTGTCATATATAACGAGCGTGAAGTGACCTAGCACATAGATGTACATACAATATGCCTTCCTATCAAGGTTAAACACCAGTGAATACAGTGGACTACAACCATACACTACAGAGGAGCGCGCAAGAACTAGAGATATTGCAATTTATGAGGCTTGACTGACAAGAAAATACACACTGCACAAGAATGACTGTACAAGCCTGAGATAAGAGGACATAAAATCACAATCGAACTAAACAAAAAATGGAATAAAACAAAATGTAGGTGAAATGAGAGTAAGAACAGACTGGAGCAATACAAGATTTAAAAATAGGACAAGATATGAACAAAACCAAGCTCAAGGCAATCATTGACCATTGGAATTTCGGCGTGGAAGCCTTCGAGCGAACAAGCATAGAATATTGACTGAGCACTGTACAGACTGTGCAAGTAGTATTGACGCTTGTAAGAAACATTGACTGTGGAGAAAAGAGAAAAGATGTACAGCCAGGTTTGGCTAGTGATAGTCGTAGGTCGAAAGACAGAGACAGCGGAACTTTTTTCTTGCCGTTTTTCTCGTCGGGTGACCTCAAGCTTCATAGGGTTAATTGCAATCATGCGATTTGCTGTGGAAGATAAATAGAGAGTCCAGAGTAGCTGGTAATGGGTTGTCAAGTGACCGAAGCTTCATCGTTGTACGCGTGGATTTTGCCGTGGATAAAGTTGGAAGTCTAGTCTGGTCGCCATAGGGTAAACGACAGCAGAACCTTTTAGAACTTTTTTGTTTGTCTTTGTTCTTGTCGTGTATCCTCAAGCTTCACAGGACTAATTGCAATCATACTAATTGCTATCATGTGGATTGGCTGGGGAAAAGAGATAGAGAGCCTAGTATAGCTGATGATGGTCATACCCTGGGTCAAACGAGAGCGAAACAATTTGTTGTTTTGTTTTGTTTTGTTTTTGGTTCATGTCGATGACCCTCGAGTTTTCAGAGGGCAGTGTTTTCTGGCCCTGGAAAATGAGTGGAAAGAAAGCCCAGTCTGGCTGGCAATAGCCTTTGTTCAAATGTGGCAGTCTTTTTTAGTGCTTGGTTTTGTTGGTGTCATGTTCTTCCAAGGTTCCTTTCAGTGGTCTCTTATGGCCCTGAGAGCCCGGTGGGTTCATAGGAATTGATGTGGAGAGCCCATTTTATTTAATGACGGCCCTTGGTTGAAGACAGCACAACATTTTTTTTCTCTTTTTTTCTTTGGTATTGTTCTTGTCAAGCCACCATTGGCGTGAGAGAGATTGCTGTTTTCCAGTGCATCATCAAAGGGAAATAGATTGAATGCTCAGTCCAGGTGGCTGGTGATGGCTGGTGATGGCCCTTGGTCGAAAGACAACTTCAAGGAGTCTTTGTTTTTGTATTTGCATTTTTGTATTGTTTTTGTTGATCCTCGCTCGGGTCCTGGAGAGCTGTGTATCCGTGAGCACCGTCTGTAGGAAGTAAAGCCCAGCTTATGAATTCTCCAAATATGAAACTAAGCACCCGTGAGGACTGCCTGATAATTGCCCTCCAACAAAGGACAGTGGCACTCGGTTGGAAGATAATATCAATATGTTCTTTTTTTTCTTTTTTCTTTTTTCTTCTTTTTTCGATGTTTTTCTTTTCTTTTCTTTTCTTTTCTTTTCTTTTCTTTTCTTTTCTTTTCTTTTCTTTTCTTTTCTTTTCTTTTCTTTCGTTTTTCTTCTAGTTCTTGTCGAGTGATCCTCGGGCCTCAGAAGACTCAGTGTATTCAGGAAGGACCTCCTCAGAGGAACGAGGGATGGTCATGAGGCCCTGCTTTTCGCAGGCCTCGCCATCCTCCCAAGCTGCCTTGTGCTCCGCAGAAGTGGTGCCGCGGTAGCGTTGCCAGAGGAAAACTACAGCCTGGCCGACTAGCATGCCAATAGCACTTGCAGTCAACCCGGCTAGGACACCTAGAACGGCTGGGACAACGATAAAGTGGACAATGCGAGAGAAAGCGCGAGCGAAAGCACCATGGTGTGGGTGGTGCTTGTGGGGACGAGCGGAGCCATGGGAATGGGCATGGTGGCCACCGGGGCCAACCATTTCACGCCCAGAGCCTTCTTCGTGGTGGCCCATTGTCTTGCCATTGAACTTGTCATGGCAGCTCTTGCGGCCGGCTTTGGCCATGCCCATCACACGAGCCTTGGCCCCAGCCAAAAGGCCCCGAATGCGAGAGACCATAAGTTCCTGCAGGCATTTAGCCTTGCCATGGCACTCCTTCCAAGATAAGCGGTCGGAGGCTGGGGCGGTGTTTTCGATTTCAGTCCGGGCGATGAAGAGCTCGCCGTTGGGATCCTGCAGAACGGTGATCGCAACGGTGTCGACGGGGACTGGGTGGGTCTCCAAGTCGAGAACGGTGAATCGAATATCCAACAGTTCATAGCCCGGCTCGTCAGATGGTGCAGCCATCGGCATAATTTCAAGCGCATATCCAACAGGCATGGGATTGGACTCCTTGCCCTCTTCATTTTGTTGCACAGCAAGAATTGGAATGGGCGGGGCCGGTGGGAATATTTGACGGCCGTTGGCCAGTAGGCGGTTATCTTCGATCGAGAAATCCAGAGTCTATAGAGGTTTGTTAGCTAGTGCACATAAATATTCGGATTCTGTGATCCTTACTAGAGACGATGGTTTGCCCTCCGTCCAGTTAACAACACCTTCGTCGTTGGTTTCACGGAGAGGGCATTCAGAGCAAGGCAGGTCAACAATCGCATGATGAACGTCCTGCATAAGCATAGGGTGGACATTCACAAATCCATCCTCAATCATATCGACTTTAGGTTCCATCTCGGGGACAACGAGCATGGCGCCAGCGCCAAGAGCAGCGGCGCCACCTAGCAAGACGGATCGCACAAACATAATGGGAGGAAACGAAGTTCGAAGTAAAATGCAAGTCAAAAGCAAGTCGTTGCGTCTCTCGTTAAATTAGGAATGGGCTCAATAACGACGTGGTGAACAATACCTCGAGAGGGTATGGTATGGAGATAAGTGATCTTCTTTCAGCGGGAAGTGGAGTGGGTGACGCCAGCGCCTGCGTGGCTCATGCTCTCATTGGTGGATAGTGGACAGTCAGCCTGCTGACTGTGTAGGCGGCATCCCGATCCCGGTCGTGTTCGTATCATGAATCGTTCTCACGTGCAATTTGCACGTCTTCTGCCCAGTTTCTTGGTGTAGGCAAAAGGAAATACACCCGAACATAATGTACTCTAGGGCTCAGATATCGCAGTTGGACATGTTCGGACATGAAATCAAACATCGAATCGCCGTGAAACTCAAAACACGGACTCGGACATGGCGTCAGAACTGTAGTCGAACAGCATGTCTTTTGACAGCCGACAAAAAATCGTACATCACCCCGAAGGGTGAACAACAAACAAATCGTACATGTTGTCTTCCGATAACTCACACAACTAATCATGCACCACCCTGAAGGGCACGCAAACAAGAAAATCGAACATAACTCAGAACAGGTACCCTGACAAAATGCCATGAGCGTCGACAATGATAATCATTCATCACCCTCCCGGGTGAGGGAAACAAAAGTACTCAAACTATGGATTCTTGTTTCAGTGTCTTCGGTAACAGACACTTGTCGCTGGAACTGCGCAGGTGAAGCGGCAATCGTTGGACTTGCCAGCTTGCTGCTTTGTAGTTGTTGCAGTCCTAAGAGGTGGCCCATTCGTTCCTCCCCTTGAGCCGCTGTCGTTGTACTTCTGCAGTTGAAGCGGCAATCGTCGAACTTGCTAGCTTCGTGCCTTGCCGTTGTAATATCGTATTTTCCATCAAGAGGTGGCTCATTCGCCCCTCCCCTTGATGGGGCGCACCGTACCACTTGCTGTTAACCGAACAAAGTCCGATCTCCGGCAAAGCAACGGAGGAAGACAAAGACAATCCGCTCCAAGAATGGAACATCATATCCATGCTCCCAGCGTAGTTCCTCCAGGAACTGTTCGGGTCCCTCCAAGGCATAAACCAGATGTTTAAGGTGATCTGTCCATAGAGGGAACGACAGCAGAATCACCATCACCATAGCGAATACACCAAAAGAGATCCGACGAGCTCCTGTCCACAAACCCCCTCAGCAAAGCCGATCCCTCCTGCATGTCTGACTCATCAGACGCAGTGATGGCGGGTGGGTCGGAAGGCCAAGCTCCTGGCATTTGGAGACTAGTAGTCGCTGCCTCTTCTCCGCCCATTTCCTCCCGCTGTTCTCCTGCAGACTGTTGAGCGCTGCGAGTCGGGTTTTCGGTGTCCTCAAACCTCTTGGTGCCTTTCGAAACCCCCGCACGGGAATCTGTCCCTGTTGCAACGGCGTTCTTTACCGAAGCGTCTTCGGGACTAGCCACCAGGGAATAGGTGGAGATAACACGAGGGGCTGCTGTGACCTGCAACCCCCCAGAAGATGACATGATGGTAGGACGAGCTTGAGTCCCTGCCGCACGTCTCGTAAGCAATACATCGAGGTGCGAACGAGTACCGGTCCGCAGGCTCGGAACAACAAGCTCATCCTTGGTCTGCCAAGTCAGATCTGATTCATTCAGAGTCGGCTCAATAACAGCAGGCGCACTCAGAATTTCCTCAGTTGACGGTGGCTCAGTCTGGACTGACTCAGTTGGAGCCGGCTCACTAGGAGCAGGCGCATCCACAACTTCGTCAGACGGAATGGACACAGTGGACGCCAGCATAGTGTACTCAAATACACTAGACTCGTGCAAAGTGGCCTTCAAGGTAGTTTGAGATGGCTTGGGAGCAGCTGGCTCACTCGTCACTGCCTCAGTGGGAACCTGCACGGTCTCGACAGTCTCGTTTTCCTCCGAATCAGCTTGAGTCTGCTGAGTAACCGCGGGATCACCCAAAGCTTCATCGATAGGAACCTGCTCGGTGACCTCCACGACAACTTGAATCGGCTGGGGAACAGCTAGCACACTCATGGCTGCTGCAGTGGGCACCTGCTCGATCAAGACAATCTCGGTGTACTCCAGAACAGTCTGAGTAGGCTGAGAAACAGCTGGCTCACTCATAACTGCCGGTGTAGGCATCTGCTCGGTTTTGGCAGACTCAGTGTCCTCCGAAATAGTCTGAGTAGGCTGCGAAATAGCTGGCTCACTCATCTCTGGCACTTTCGGGGCTGTGTTTATCACGTATACCTCAGAACGGGAAAGTAAAAGCGAACCGTTGGCTTCCACGATTTTCTTTGTAATCCGCTTCTTGGGGCTTGGTTCTTCGTCCTCGCTGAACCTGTTGAAGCTGGCTACCCTCTTTCGTCTAGGGAGATTGACGATCATTGTCAGACCCAGGCTCACGCTAGGCCGATTGTCGGTAAGGCGAGGCCGATTATCATTGGTAAGATGACGTCGATTTACCCCGGTAAGACGTTGCCACTTAATTTTGGGATCGCGGCCGCGTGCATACGTGGTGGTTGCCCAGAGGACCGCCTTGCCCTTGAAGATGATGCGATCCTTTCGTCGAGCAAATGCGATCCGGGGATTTAGTCTGCGACGCACTGGGATTACGTCAAGCATGCAGACATCAGATTCCTGGCTCGGGTCATCTTTCGTGCAAGGTGTGATAGTCTGCGCATACGTATATTCCCAGTCCATGTAGCCGTCAAAGTCCTGACCGTTCAGTTTTTCGATTTCAAAGTCAGACAACTGGTTCTTGTTTTGCATCATGCCGTGAGTCTCCACTTGCTGGGGAGCGTTGGTAAAGGTGGTGCCTGGTGCTCCTTGCACCACTGCATTTTGGTCGCCCATCTGCGACTCATCTGCCTGCAACATGTGGGCGGCAAGTTCCTGTCCCATGGGCTCAATAGTGATACTCATGGGTGATCCGTCCCGTGATGATTCGTGAGGATCCAGTGACATTGGTGACCCATCCCGTGATGAATTGCGAGGATCCAGTGGCATCGCAATGGTGAGGCTGTCCGATGGGGAAATCGAGGATAAATAAGACTCATTAGAATTGGAGGTAAGGCCCTCATCACATTCGCGTTCCTCGGGAGGGAGAGATCTCGGGCCACGTTCTTTTCCCTTGTCGAGTTGCTGTGAGTGGTGGTCAAATGGATGCCCCTGGGAGCCTAGTTCGTGGCTCCTCATGACAAGGCGACGTGCAATACCCACAGGGTTGGTCTTGGACTCAGCAATCGGCGCACTGCGAGTCTGGATCTGACTGGCCCTTGCGTTTTCCATCGACGAGGCAAGCATCCTTTCCATGGTCTTAAGGAGGCCTTTGAATCGGCTCTCCGCACCCACAATGCGCTCTTGGCGCCGCATGTTATGTTCCGTAGCTGCGAGCAGTTGCCGCAGCTCCCGGAGGTCTGTCTGGTCTTTTGCCAGACCTTGTCTACAAGCCTGGAGGGACTTTAGGTTACCCTCCGCACGTTCGAGCTCTTCGGCGGCTTCGTCCAACCGATCCTCAAGAACCCGGAGCTGCGCATCAACATCGCGGGATCGGCTACCGCGAGATTGGCTGATCAAGGCATCCATTTGCTCTTGGTCAACAAACTTGGTGGTGCGTCGCTGTGCGGCGTTAAGAGATCGGAGGGCTGAAACCTGGGACTTGGCGTGGTTCAGCTCCATCTCCTGCCGAGAGATTGTCGCTTCGGCATCCACCAGTTGACTGCCAAGCGCGGAGAGCTCACGCTGCGACTGGCTTGTTCGGACAGTGGTCTGTCCGAAAGAGGAAGAATGGGCTGTGTCGGGGCCCACCAGGGGGGTGATCCTGTACGGAGGACCCTGGTTGTTAAGAGAAGTGGCATGAGTAGAAGGACCAGGCACAATCTGGGACCCAATGGGTCTCTTGCGGGGCGGGGCGATCAGAGGTATGGCGGGAGTTAGTGGACCCGTCATATTGAACCCACTGACACCGTTGCGACGGGGCGGTCCTTGGTGAGTTGCCATAATGAACTTTGAAAGATGTTAGAGATGATACTCGAAAAGGTTGCTGTCTCCAAAGGTAGCTGAACTTACAGAAGGAAAAGGTGACACGGAATGTGAGTCGTTCAGAGATTCGAGAGAAATTCTCAATGGCTGCTACGTTGGAAGTGGTTAGAGATCATGCGAGGGAAAAGAAGAAATGGGTTGCAAATACTAACACAAAAATAAAAATAGCAGGCGTCGACAAACGTGCAAAAACAGTTCTTGCCAGGGTTATCCAGAGACTGGACATGCAACTACGCGACAAGCTGTCAGAAAAGGTAGACAGATTACTTGGAAGAGTGGTTGGGACTAACCGGAAACAAGAAGATTTGCAAACTCCTTCGGCTTTGTAGAAGAAGCAGAAGAAACAAAAAAAAGGAAAACTGACGACGATGGGGAAGAAAGAGGAGAGGAGAAGAAAGAAAGAGAAGTTGAGACCAAAGGGGAGAACATATAGGCCTCGACAAACGACGTGATGGTGAGGCTCTGGGTGCCTATTGGTCAATGACCTTTCTCAATGACTTGGTCTCACAACCCTGCACCAATAAGCGAGCTCCCCCATTGTTTATTGACAAGACATTTCTTCAACAATGACTATTATGAAGTCTTCAATAAAGAGAACAATGGGATGTCTCCTTGGTCCCTTGAATGCCATTTTTGTGGGAATAGGATGTCTCTTTTAATGGTACAATCTACAATAAGCTTCTAATCCTATGTTTATTCAACCATTTTGTGCTATTTTGCCTAGAGTTATGATACATGTAGCCTTTTAAAATTTAGATCTGGGCATGTAGTTATAGAATGTCGGCTTGCCGAAGGCCAGTGCACTCGGCTTGCCGAGGATGTTCTTCCAAGGGTCAATGCACGTCTTGGTAATTTCGTGTCACTAGATCTACTGTGGTCTAAGATAATTCGCTGGGGATACTGTCATCATGGCTCTTCTAAGGTTGATCGAAAGAGCGGTCTTGTCGCTGTGTTTCCTCCCTCTGGAGTGGGAACTTAGTGTCGAGCATGGATGTGCAAGCTTTGGTAGTTCTCCACTCCTCTACGATTTGAATACGTTGAGTTTTGAACCATCTTACACTGGTATTATTGCTGACACGAAGATAGATTTATTCCCAAGAGGCGCTTGTGGGGGTAGCCTCTCAGTCCCACAAGGACAAGAACACGGTACGGGCCGATTCCGTTACAAGCAATCCACCTGGCAAGCACATCCAGCAACTAACCCAGCAATCCGTCAGTGCCAATCTACATTCTGTCAACGAAGCCATGCAATTACCAAACCCAGTCTATTTTGCAAACAATCACACAATGGCTTTGACATTCGAGTGTGGGAGCAACGCCATGAAGAAAAATGACTCAAGATCGAGTTTAGATCAATGTATGGACACATTGCAGCTATTCAAAAAGTTTCACCCAGCAGTTGACATAAACGAGAGCCTGGCAGCCAAGCGGGCTCTCGTTCGTGAGGCGGGAGTTTTGCAATCATATCATTGACCTCGCGGAGACAGTCAAATCGCTACATCCGGTGCTTTTGCTGCTATTGTGGTGGATTGTGGGGACAAGGGTATGTGTTGCTTTTTACCCAAATTACTCGAGATATTCGCCATACAAAAGAGACTAACATTATGTTTGTTTTAGATTTTCTATCAAGATCTCGAGGGTGCCTCAAAACACCACCGGCTTCTTACAGCAAGTGTGCGGCAAGTTGTCTGGTCCTCAGGGAGCAACATTCAGGCCAATTCGGTTCTATGGGTTTCCCTACTTCGAAAATCGATCCTCTTTAGCAGTGAATGACAAACAAGGGGTGTCTGGGACATCGGGAGCTTCAACATTGTGCGACAGGAAATGAGAGATGATATGACACAACCGGGCGTGACATCATGGTCGGCTCAGTATATTCCGCCGAGAGTTTCAATATGAGAAATATAATAAACAAACGCAATCTCTATCAGCCAAAGCCAGTTTAGTAATACTCGGTAAGATTTATCCAAAATCCAAAGAACCAAAATGCTCTGTTATATTATCAGTATCTCGCACATTTCCATCTGCTCAAAGCTTAGACTTCTTGCCAGTCACGTTGGGTACATCATCCCCGGAAAGCAGGAAGTCCGGGTAAGACAGGCTGCCACCGGAAGCGCCGCCTGCCGACATGCGCCAGTTTGCGCCATCCACTGTTTATGAGTCAGTATGGAACCTTCATAATGTTTTTTGTCATCTGATAACGCACCAACAAGCGTTTGCCCACTGACATAGCTGCCAGTGTCTGAGAAAAGATACACGGTGGCGTCTGCAATGTCACGGACATGGCCAAAGCGGCCAAGCGGCTGCGCCTTGGTGTAAGCCTCCAGGGCGTCTGATGGTAGCAGACGTTCCAAGCCCTAATGAATGGTAAGTTGGTCAGTTTTTGACATGTAAATAACACTATTGAGACTTCTACTAACCTCAGTCTGTGCAATAGGACCCGGCGCGATGATGTTGGACGTCAACCCACGAGGACCATACTCGATTGCGACACTGTGCGACAGGGTATCGATGCCGGCTTTGGCAACGGAGACATGGGTCTGGAAGGGCATACCCCGGTAGTGGATGGTGGCACTGACGAAGATAATTCTTCCGCCGGTTCCAATTGGTGATGGTTGAACTGGAGGATTGTCAGTGCCAATAATATCCAGAGGGTCAGGTTCACCGAATGGTGCACTCACGAGTCTTTGAGTCCATTCTGTGCTTGCTTGCTGACTCTCTCAGATAGGGAAGAGTTGCCTTGAGCGTATTATAAGAGCCCAAGACGTCAATATCCATAACTGACTTGAAAGCATTGACAGAGAGTTGCTCGATCGAGGCGAGGAAGTTACCTGCCGCTCCAGCACTGTCGGATACGATCAGCACAAAACTCGAAGACCAGGGTCAAGTTGATATATCGACGTACATGACAAAGTCAATGCCTCCAAGCTCCTTGACACAGCGATCAACTGCTTGCTGCAAATACTCGAGCTTGCGCACGTCCACGGAACCGATTCCGATCACCTTGGCACCTGGCCGGGCCGTTGCAATATCCTGGGCGACGCGCTCGGTCTTCTCTACATTCCGGCCGATAATGCAGGCGTTGGCACCGAGGTGTACTAAGGCCCGGACCTGGGCACTGCAGATAGTTCCAGCGCCGCCTGTGCAGAAGACCACTTTGTTTGCTGGGTCAAAGAGTTAGTTTGGTTGTGCGGTGGCAATGGACTCGAAGAGAGCTCACCGAAGATCCCATCCTTCCAGGAGTCACTCAAATATTCGGTCTTGGGAAGCGGCATTCTGATTACTATGTTCCTGGATATCTTCCAAGCTTGGTTTAAAGATTATGGGGGAGTTGGGGGATGTTAGGGGGTGTTTCATGATGCCCGTGGGCCCTCTCCACAGTCGGACCTCGGCACGGTTTTCGTCCCACATTTAGATACTTACCTAGGTAACCTTGGAATACATTAATGATTAGTGATACAAGAATTCGAAGTCCTATAGTAAAGGAATTATTGCAAAGCTGAAACAGTCAACACTTTGTTCGAGCTGTATGGCGAGAAAAATGCTTATATTTAGTTCATATTATCCGTCGCCTTCGGCCTTTCAAATCTCGGCAAATTGATTCTCTCAAAATACTGGTAGCCACAGTACTTAACGTACCAAAAGAGTGCGACATTCGAGCCCAGCGTTACGACTCAATTCGCCCACTACGTTTGCAGGAGCTAGCGGGGCCAGCTCCTGCCGCGGGCTCGGGATATCAGCATTACTTTGGTAACTGTTCAATATCTAGATGGTTTAATATGTCCCCCAGAACTGCTTTGATATGCACGCTCCAGTTCAGGAAGCCATACACAATAACCGAGTTCCCCATTGTGTTGATAATGAGTTGCTAGTTTAGTGATTTATGTCCGAAACTTACTGAGGGCTTAAGTGGCATGTACTAGGTATAAAAGTCGATTTATGTGTTATATAAGGCTAAATAGATAGAAATTAAGATCAATTAAAATATACTCTGGACAAGGCTTATATCTACAAATATATACATACTCATTTTACGACAGAAATACCAATCTTCCTCTGCTCATTGCGATGAAGAACATCCGCCCGCTGATTGGCTGGAGCGTGGGCGGCCCACGACGTCACCGAAAAAGAACCATCTCTTTTCTTTGCATTGTTGACGTGAATCGTTAATCTTCAACTCATTTCAGATTTTGTTATCTCATCAAATACAGCTTTAAGGAACAGCGATCGTCTTTGCAATCTGCGACATGGCTTGCCCCATCAGCGTCAGCAAGTTTGTTGGCACTGTCTCTCTCGGTCTTCTTACTGTACGTCAAATCACATCTATCGCATCATCAAGTATCGGCCAATACTAACAACCCCTTTCAACTCACAGGGCCTCTCCTACTCGACATCAGCCATCACAATCCCAGCTCTGCAGCTTCTTCCAACAGCGACAACTGCCGGCCGCTCCCTGAACGAAGTGAAGCGCCTAACGCGCCGATATGCCCTACGCCTGTCCTTCCTTGCCAATACCTGCTTCTGTTTCGCATGGTGCCTCTCATCTCCGCGCCGCCGACACCCATACATGGTCTGGCTGTGCGCGTTCTGTACAATCAGTGCCCACGGTGTTGATTTCTGGTTCAACCGTCATCTTGGCTTCAAGAACTGGGTATCAACTGTGATCCGCGACGTTTCCCACTTTTCCCTGGTTCGGGACTCGAACACAAATAAGGATGAAGACCTTGTTGTTATTGAGGCCCAGGACGACGTGAACGGCGAAACTGTTCAACGCGAGATGGACCGGGAGCGCCGGCTCCACCGAGCGCGCACCTGGTTGTCTGGTATTGCCCTTTCGATTGGTATTGTTGGTCTTTGGGGTGACAAGAGGTGATATCTCTCCTCTTTATTATTTGTTGCGAAGTCTTTTTTTATGGTGACCGCTGGTTGTTCTATATCTATTTCCCGAAAAGATCTTTTCGCTACTGTTTCTTTGATCACGTCTAATATGTTTCACGCCTGATACCTTTTTATTCTGTCCTCCTTCTCTGTTGCATTTCTTTCCCTGTACATCATTATGGGATCAGCCTAGGAATGGAGTAACTTCTGAACTTGTATCCAGCGTATCCGAGCCATATCTGCGAAACCGCCAATTTGCCTAGCTGATTTAAGCTTATAAACTATGTATCTTAACATTGACTAATGTATGTGAGGAGGTGGAATGGCTGGTATGTGAACCAACATATAGCTTCTATAGTTTATACAACTCACCTATATAAAAGGCACATCACTATAAGAGATGCCAAGGCAATAACTCTATATAGGCAAACAAGATGTACCATCTGAAGTACGTGGCTCGGACCAGCTAGCATGCAAATTCGAATCATCCTTATTCTTCCTCTTAATATCACTCAGATGCTCCTTGAATTACCAAAGAGCTATAGCCCTAAAAGGCATGTGACCCGAAAGTGAACAATAAATGTTGGTAGTCTTCGACTCTAGGACTCAGATAATGAATTAAAAGAAGTGGGGAGACATAGAAAGGAATTAACGGCAGAATATATAGTAAGTTTGGTGAGAGCAGAGTGAGAGCAAAGTGAGATCAAAGTGAGAGCAGACGAGGAGTATATACAAAGCAGCCATCCTCACATTGATAAACTCGGAATGATAGATACATATTCAGAATGAAGGAATAAGTCCTTTCAAGGTTGGGAGGGACTTACATAGCCCGTAGCACTATAAATATCATCTCCTCCTTTCTTCCTCTTCTCCTTCTTACAACTCCCTACACCTCTAAGCATTTACCCCAAATCATAACATTTGCCGCCTGTGAGTTCATTCTTGTTCTTATCCACCCCTCGTTGCTAACATGGTTTCCAGGACTATAATTATTCCTTCTTCCTTCCTTGTCTTACAACTTCATCCACATTCCAACTGCCTAACGCCGAAGGGTATAAGTTAGCTCTGATAATCTCGACTTCTCGTTCCTCTTCCATTTCTAACCACCGTCCTCCGCACAGGATCCCCCCCCCCTTTTTTTTTCTCTTTCGGGCAGACCACTGTCCGAACAAGCCAGTCGCAGCGTGAGCTCTCCGCGCTTGGCAGTTAACTGGTGGATGTCGAAGCGACAATCTGTCGGCAGGAGATGAAGCTGGACCGCGCCAAGCCCCAGGTTTCGGCCCTCCAGTCTCTTAACGCCGCACAGCGACGCACCACCAAGTTTGTTGATCAAGAGCAAATGGATGCCTTGATCAGCCAATCTCGCGGTAGCCGATCCCGCGATGTCGATGCGCAGCTCCGGGTTCTTAGCATCGGTTGGACGAAGCCGCCGAAGAGCTCGAACGCGCGGAGGGCAACGTAAAGTCCCTCCAGGCTTGTAGACAGAGTCTGGCAAAAGACCAGACAGACCTCCGGGAGCTGCGGCAACTGCTCGCAGCAACGGAACATAGCATGGGGCGCTAGATCATTGTGGGTATATAGATCCGGTTCAAAGGCATCAAGACCATGGAAAGAATGCTTATCGTGTCGATGCAAAACATGTAGAACTGCGGAATAGAGACAGCGCCGTTAAGAGCGCCTTGTGAGTGCAGAGGATCGGATGAAAGGCCTCCTTAAGAACATAAACAGAATGCATGTCGCGGCTATGTAAAACTTCACGGCCAGCTAACTCGGATGCTAGTGTAGGCATTTTTTCCAATGATTCCCACAAAATAGAAATATGTGAGAAATAAGTAATAACATCCTCAAGTATTTTCTGATATTTCTACCGACAAAAACAAGACCAACGTTAATATTAGTATATATCTACGAGGGGTGTAATTCGAAAGTATAGAGTAAACATGAGGTTGAACAATGTCGATGATCGACGGGGATTCGGGTGGAGTGGGACGGGGAACCAAAGCATCGACGTGGGTGTGTGCTATATAAAAGCATACAATGTACAATGTTGTCTGTAGAATGTTTCTATCGTAGATTGGTCGCATTGTGCATATACTATGGACGTCGGGGTAGGTATGATTCGGTCCTAACAAAGGGTTGAAGAGGTCAAATATGCCATGTACACATATACCCCTGTTGGCTGTCATTAATTATTAATATTGTTTAGAACGAATAATCAACACCCTAAGACTAAATGAGGGCTTAAGGATCACAGCCAGACCAATGACCTGAAGAAATAAAATTAACCCCAATACGCTAAGAATAATGGCGGAGTTGTCGGAAATGAGCCCCTTGGCGCAAATAGAATAAAAAGGACATGACAGCGCAGCTTATTTTTCTGTGAATAAAATAACACTGCTTCAGAATAAATCTGTAAAGTTGGAAAATATGGTCAACTTCACCATCGTCAATGGCCAAATCTACACGCCAGGCCTGGCAATTGTCGATGCGCCACAGCCAAACACACCCCTCGGAGGAGGCAAGTCAATACGCCAAAATCTATCAATTCCTTACTAATTTCTTAGACAACCTGCAAGTCGCAATCGATGTGTCTGGTAATGGTCAATTACCATGGCCGGCATCAACTGAACCCGACTCCTCTACCCTGTTCCACGACATCACCTTCTTTTTAACCTCCGAGTCGCACAACTTCACTATCTCCAACGGCACAAAGCCCGCGTCTAACACAAGCTACGTCGGTCCCGTCTTAGACCTGGAGCCCTCATCTACCGTCAAACATGTGAATTGGATTTGGCCCGAATGTCTCGTAGGAGATGGCTCTGATTCAGAAGACTCGGCGCGCGGGGCATACAACATCTCCATGCACCAATCTTTCCGCTGGAATGGAACCGACTATTATACTGTCTTCGACCTGCCCATCTCTGTCACTAACAGTATACCCGAGAGTAACGACCGGGTCGACTGCGATCTGCTGGAAAACAAGCTTCTTAGCGCGGCGGAGATCGGCGAGAGCTCGGATTCGCTGCCTGGACAGCCGTGGGTTGAGGGTGGAGCTAGCACGACGGTGTCGAGTCCCGATGCGACTGCGACGGGGGCGGGTAATCGGCGTCACTCAGGCTTCAAGAGAGTAGCTGGCCTTGCGATTGCTACGACAGCTATTTTGCATTTCCTGGGATGAGACTTGCTCCTGGATCTGGATATCGCGGGTTTCATCCCTTGTATACTTTTTATTATCATTATTTTCGTCTTGTAATTAATATAAAAACAACCATTCCTATACTCCCACGTGCGACCCCCCATATATTCAAATAGAGCTATCACAATATATTGATCGCCGATCGGCGAATAACGTTTTTACTCCTTCTATCAATGATCGTCGTTAATATTTCTAAATTGGGAAGGAAGTATACATTCTCATGTTGATTTTGCAGTATCCCTTGATTCCCCAGCTTTCTCCCCTACCAATTCCTAATATTCTCTATCGAGGGTTTCTCCCAAAACTCCAGTGAAGTATGTCAGGAACATGACATCGCGTACATCGCAACCAACCCTGACGTTGACACCAAATCCCAATTTCGCTTTCCATGACGCTTTTGTCCGCCTCCCGAAGAGTCCTCCGGTACCGCATCGCTCGAGCTTTGATCATAATTTTCACAATATGGAATCTGGCCGAGATACACCTGATACATCACCGAATTTACGAAGCAGATTACACAGTCCAACGCCGGCCGCAAAAGCAAGAACGAATATACATTGCAAGCATCAATTGGAACAATGAGCTCGTTCTACGCAGTCACTGGAACAAGGCACTGACACAGCTGGTCTTGAAGCTTGGTCCTGAAAATGTGTTCATCAGCATCTACGAAAGCGGGAGCTATGATAACACGAAAGCCGCGTTGAGAGAACTGGATTGGGAACTCGAGCGAATGCGCGTGCCACGGAATATCACTTTGTCGCCTGTTACACATCAAGATGAACTCGCCGCACCTGCAAGGGGTGAGGGTTGGATTCGCACTCCTGATGGGAAGAAACAACTCAGAAGAATCCCGTATCTAGCTCGGATACGGAACTTAGGCTTGCTGCCTCTGCAGGATCTTGCACGGCAGGGTATCATTTTTGAAAAAATCCTGTTTCTGAATGACGTTGTGTTCACGGTTCGTTTGAGCCATCTTACCTTCTATCGAATGCGTATACTGATTAAGCTTTTGTTGATCAGCCGAACGACGTTCTCCGACTTCTAGACACTAATGACGGTGAATATGGTGCTGCTTGCTCGTTGGATTTCTCCAAGCCTCCGAGTTTCTATGATACATTTGCTCTCCGGGATAGCAATGGCCATGAACCCATCATGCAGATATGGCCCTATTTCAGTTCTGCAGCATCACGACATGGGATGAAAAATATGTCTCCTGTTCCCGTGGCAAGTTGTTGGAATGGAATGGGTATGCTGACCTCCATTCTAGAAATCGTTGCATAAACTAATATATCTATAGTGGCGATGCCCGCAAGTCCATTCATCGCCAGATCTCCACTTCGCTTCCGAGGTATCCCCGATTCACTAGCAAGCTATCATCTTGAAGGCTCCGAGTGCTGTCTCATCCATACAGACAACCCACTATCAGTAGACAAGGGTGTTTATTTAAACCCCTTGGTGAGGGTTGGATATAGCGGTGCCGCATACACATCTATTCATCCGATGATGAATTGGCTCACTACGGGGAGGGTTCTACAGGGGCTGTGGGTCAATCGACTGCGCCGCTTGGGTATCAGTTCATGGTTGAAAGAAAAAGTAGTTCGAATGCGGGTAGACAGATGGAGAGCATTGAGTGCCAGGAATGAAGAGTATGGGGAACTTTGTATTATCGATGAGATGCAAATTCTGCATCAATATGGATGGGCCCATGTATAAGGAAAAGTCAGTGGCACATTGTTTATATATATATATATATAGCTTCATGTTGCCAGCCTACTCCAAGAGCTATTATGCCTAGATGCCTATATAGTACGCATAAGATCTTCGCAAAATATATACTCAAAGGAATAAAAAAGGAGCAACTCCTGGTTTGGAGATTAGGTTCTTCAACAAGAGACTGATTTACGATAGTTATATAGATTAGTTGGCTACTGATATAGTCCACGAGCACCTTGGAAGATGTCTTCTACACCATTATCGAGACACAAATCCCCAGTATCTATGTATACAGTCAATTTCTATCTAATCTCCAGTTCTCGTCTATTCTATTCTCAAATTGACTTTTTATACCTCCGAGGCCGGCCCACCTGTGCAAACCTTAACGAGAGCGATTATGTAACCTCAAGCGAATCGTCCCATTTGGGACTGTATCAAACAGCAAACCCCCACCTACCCTCCATAAACCACCTAAATCCCCAAATACACATAATGGCAACAGTCCAAGTCCTAGATGGAGGTCTTGGCACCTCCCTGGGAGATATATACAACATCAAATTCGATTCCACAACAACCCCACTCTGGGCCTCACACCTGCTAGTGAGCGATCCAGCAACGCTGCAAGCATGCCAGCGCGACTTCGGCGTCGCCGGAGTAGACGTTCTCCTAACAGCAACCTACCAAGTTTCTCCTGAAGGCTTTGCACGGACCAAAACTGCCCAATTCCCAGACGGGATCCCACGCAGCGCAGTAGGGCCCTTCCTACAGAAATCTGTGGACATCGCCGAGCAAGCGAAAGTGCGCGAGAGCGCAAGCATCGCGCTCAGCCTTGGCCCTTACGGTGCGTGCATGATCCCAGGCCAAGAATATAGCGGTGCGTACGATGCCGAGCATGACTCTGAGGAATCATTGTATTTGTGGCACTTGGATCGACTGCGGATGTTCGCTGAGGCAGATGGGGATCTTGTTTCGCGGGTGCAGTATGTTGCATTTGAGACTTTGCCGCGGCTTGATGAGGTTCGCGCTGTGAGGAGAGCGATTCGGGATTCTGCTTTCGACGTGCCATTTTGGATTGCTTGTGTTTTCCCGCGCGATGATGATCTCTTGCCTGATGGGAGCTCGGTGGAGCAGGTTGTGCGCGCTGCTTTTGCGCCTTTGGAGGGCGGGGCTGTGCCCTGGGGAATTGGAATCAATTGTACTAAGATGCATAAGCTTGCTGGTCTTATTGATTTGTTTGGTCGTGCTGTTGCGGAGGGTGTTGCCGAGGGATGGGTATCTGATGTGCCGAGTTTTGTTTTGTACCCTGATGGGACGAATGGGGAGGTGTACAATACTACGACACAGGTTTGGGAGAAAGATGATGCTTTGGGTGATAAGGTGAGTGGTAATGTGAGTACTATGAAGATAACGTTCAGCCTTTCCGGTGGGAACGTTGGAGATAAAAGATTATGCTGACGTGAAATTTAGCGACCTTGGGAGGAGCAGTTGGCGCAAGTGGTCAATGAAGCCTACGAAAAGGGCCATTTCAATTCGTTCCTTGTGGGAGGGTGCTGCAAAGCTTCCCACCGCGATATCAAGAAACTTGGAGAGCAATTCAAGACTCAATAGGCATTATTAGTACGGAATACCATTTATGAATAGAATTTGGAATTTTGGTTGAATAAATGCAATTGAATGAAATGAGATAATGTACATCGCTAATGTTGAAGATATTGTACAATCGCTAATGTTGAATAGCCGGCTTGGCATGCAAATATTTATATCATAAAGTCATTTAAAAGAGCCAGTCGGTGAACTTTTTCCACGCATTGTTGTGCGGGTTTTCAACTGGCATAATCTCCCCATCTAGGAGACGGCCAGACCATAGGTCGATATTAGCGGCTCGCTCAAACTGTACAAGATGTTAGCAACTCTGCGCAAAGATAGAAAGAATAAGAGGGGCTCAACGAACCTTGGTGCCATGCCAAAGCTTCCAGCAAATAATGGGAACGATAAAGATGGGGATACCAATATACGACGCAACAAAGCTGGACGCATCCCAGTTGCCCTTCAAAAAGACGGGGAAACCAGCAACTAGAGTAATGATAGTGGAACCGATAAAGCCCACCCATGCGGCATAAGGTTGAAAGGGTGCCTTCCATGGGAGGGTGTCACGGCTCACATTCTGTCTCTTCATTGCGGCATGGAAACGAATATAACAGAAGCAAAGGGTTGCCCATGCAATCAAACCGGCAACGGTGCTCAGGTTCAGAAGCCAGCTGAACGCCTGTGCTGCACCACCACTGCCAAGACTCAGATACGCCAGCGGCCCAAAGAGCCAGGCGGCAATGACAGCCACATATGGCACACCACTCTTGTTCACGCGCCCGAAGATCTGGGGCAGCTGGTGGTCTGTAGTCATGGCGACAATCATGCGTGATCCGACCCAGCAGTATGAGTTACCAGCAGACCACGCGGCGATGAGAATGCACGCATTTACGATAGATGGAAGAGCGTTGATGCCGGCGTTGGTGATGGCAATAACGAAGGGGGAGCTGTTGGCATTGTTATCGCCGGAGACAAGGCCTGCGGATCTTGGATCAACGATCATGCCGATGAGAAGGGCTCCGAGAATATAGAAGAAGGCGATGCGGTAGGTCACACGGCGGGCGGCCTTGGGAATAGCTCGGTGAGGATCGACCGATTCGGATGCGGTAATGACGACAGTCTCGACGCCAATGAAGCTGAACGAGGCGTTGACGAACGACGACAGGAAGCCAAGGAAGTGGCCTGTCGGACCGGTGATACCGTTGTAGTCTACCCATGGCCCGGGGTTATTCCAGTAGCGGAATCCAATGGCGTCGCCCTTGGGACCACCGCCTGCAGTGATGACAATGGAGACAACGACCAAGCCAAGGAAGCAGAGAACCTTGACGGCACCTCCAAAGACTTCAGTTTCACCATAGAATCGCACACTCATCAAATTGATAGCCAAAATGAGTGCCAATCCAACAGTGATCACCACGGCAGGCGTGATATCCGTCCAATATGAAACAATAACCGCGGCTGCCGAGACTTCCGAGGCGATGGCGATCGTGTAACAGTATCCGTATGAAATAGCGAGGGAAAACCCGACGGCCGGGTCGATAAATCGAGTCGCCCAGTGAGGGAAGGATCCAGCAGTCGGGAAAAGCGTTGCGAGTTCGGCGATACTTTGCATCACGCACCACAAAACTCCTCCCACAATGATATACGCGAGCAGCAAGCCGGCGGGGCCAGCTTTGGCGTAGGCAGCACCAGTTCCGACGAACAAACCGGTGCCGATACCGCTGCAGAAACCAATCATGGTAACCTGGTAATTGCGCAGACGTCGCTGCAAGGCCGCACGACCACCGACATTGAGCTCGAACTCCGCCTTGGGATTCTCATTGTAGTCGTCGAAGTCTGCACCGGAAGCCGGCCGGACCTTGTCATCGTTGAAGCCGGACTTGTCCATGTTGTCGTGTGTAGTGCCGATCATACGGGCTAAGTATTTCCCCATAGATTATACCCCGGGGAGTTTGGAGTTGTCAAAGCGCTCAGTGGGAAACAGTTTCCTTTTGTTCCAAAATATTCAGTCGCGTCCAAGCACGACATCCACGCCGGTTTTTCTCTTTTCCCCACATTGGGGAGGCTCATTGGGCTGCATCGCCGTGAATTCGGCCACTCTCCACTTTTATGGGAGGCGATTGGCTAGAATTTTTCTTTTGTCATAATCTTGTGAGGCGAATAATCAATTTTGATTTTCTTGGCTTCATATTATTCCAAGGCTCAGGGCCGATCTATTGATATGGGTCAGTAGACAGTTTAGCCCATACATTGGGGAGTAAATTGAGTTGGTTCCAATGGGCAGAGAGGCAGTGAAGAATGTATCCATGGATGCATCTGGAAGACCGCCACGTGATCCGGATGGATTCATAAGAATTTAAGCTTTGCATCTCAGATATTAACTAGTTAGTTAGGCCACGGATTAATTAATATTTGCCTTACGGCATCAACTTCCAATTCGGATCCTTTGTCCGATTTTTAAGGTCAAACCTAATAATCTTATTTCAAGCAAATAGGGCACATATGGCATCAGTGTCCCAAATCCCAGGTTATTCATGGAAAAGCCATACAAGGCCGATCCTTGTTATGATATATTGAGAAACCATCGTTCGGTGTAATAAATCGTGCTGTAATTTGTACTCCGCACGGAGTCAGTCGTGGCGTTCTAGAGTTGCACCGTTCACGTCGCAGGGCGAATAGATAGCGAATCCTCTCTATTTGGGGGTTTTTGGCCTCGTACCAATAAATAATAGACTAGCATAGTTGGATTTTCCTATCCACCCAGTGACCTTAACTCTGCGACCCTGTCACCCTGGATTTTTAACGAATCACTCAAGTGGATGCTAGTTGAGCCAACATGGCTGGTGTTTTCTCCAGCCCATATCTACCCCGCACCTTCAACATCATAACTTGCTGTGAGCCATGCCGTGGCCATGGTGTTTTCCGTTCAAACAGGGCCAATCAAGGACTGCGAAGACAGTAAAAGCCCATTATAATGAGATGGCTATCTCTGGTTTTGTTGATATGCTAAATGTTTATACAGTCTCCACTTCCACTAGACGAGGAGGCAGGCTTGAAGTTGCTGCATGACGGGCTAGCTCCAAAATTCGAGTTTGTAAGCCCATCTCTATCAACATTCCAATAATTAACAATTGGTGTAGCATCATTGCTGTCCATGGACTGGGTGGCCACCGTGAACATTCATGGACGGCAGCTAATGGGGTAAACTGGCTCCATGATCTGCTGCCAAGTGATATGCCCAACACTCGTGTCCTTTCCTGGGGTTATGGTTTGCCTACTATAGAAAGCTCCCAGCAGAAAATATCTGAGAGACTAGTATATGACTTGTGGGAAATGAGATCATCAACAAATGTACGGATTCAACAGGTTCAACTGACCTTACAACCAAACAAGAAAGATATCTTTTGATCGGTACTAACAGATACAACACAGACAGCCAATCGTCCGATTATATTTATTGCACATAGTCTTGGGGGACCTATAGTCAAAAGTGTACGTTCCAGCATTTTACAAAAAGAGCGTTGTCATTGATCATCGCTAGGCCCTGCTTTATGCCGACTCAGCACAAGTAACTCATACTTTGGACCTTCGCGGCATCAGACTCTCAACCCGCGGGGCGATCTTCATGGGAACGCCTGAGCTAGATTCAAGGCTCATTGGATTGCAAAGCTACTTAGCTAGCGCTAAAGGATCTGAGCAGGATTCCAGCGACATTCATAAGGAAGCACATTGGTTGGTGACTACGTTACAGAGCTACCCATCGATCAGCCAAGAGATTTGGACTTTATTTGTTCACGAGAGATCCGATTCTCTTTCAACAAACAGTAGAAGGGACCAGGTAAGAGAATAATCATCATCCAGCCGTGGACTATTTGCTTACACTAGATTGGTTGTCTTTCAACAAGACTACGTCGTCTTCACCACAGGAGAATTCGTCACACATTTTCATTGAAGCTGATCACGGTGGAATGATCAAGTTCGAATCATCATTGGACGAGGGTTATTTGAAAATCAAAGAGCATCTGGTTTATGTTGAGAAGAAGTTGAAGGAACAACAGACACCTGAATGATCAGACTAAACTATAAAATTCGTTCTTGGGATCATCCCATGGTTCCTCCCTCTAGCGGACTTTTGCTCGACATGAGGAACGGATAAGTCAAGGCTATTATTGCCTTACCCGAGGGCTCTTGGTATTAGTCTCCCGCTCAACAATAGGGCTCCAAGCCCACTTCCTTTTATCTCCTTTTGGCTTCGTACGAGCCCAATCCGGCAGGGGCGTTCGATAGTGTTAAGTGAAATTAATACTAGCAGTAGATTCTTTTAAAGCTCTCGACAGGGTGTTGTATTATTATTAGCCCTATGGACTGAAACAAGCTGTCCACGCCAAGGCTCGGCTTTTATCTTCCCGCGCCCACATGCTGCCAAGTACCAGATTCCATCATAATACAGGCTTATGCAGGATTTAATGCCGATCCAAGACAGTAGGGCAGGCCAGCCGTTGATCATAACATGGCGAAGATTCATGGTTCTCTGCCGTGTCATCGTCTCCCTGCTCCGCAGGTGCAATTACATCAAACCTGACCCCACTTGTAAAGCTCGAGAATTTCCATTTGCGCCCCGGCTGGAGCGCACAGGCGTCCAGGGATCCGCTTATATAATACCATAGTTAAGAGCGCCAAGATTGCCTAATTAGGCCTAGGCCCCCTCGATTTTGACAACTTGCATCTCGCATATGCTTTTGGTCCTACCGCCCATGTGATTGCGACTATACTATTGGCTCTCTTTCACTATTCCCGTCCTTTAAGCCGAATTCTGCCCTATTTCCCATTTTGTAACCCATTTGCCCTCCGACGATCCTTCGATTTAACGGGGTTTCCAAGGTTGACTGAAATATTATTAAATAACCCTGTCAATAGCGCCGATCGTTCGTTCTCCTGGAAGACCGTTGAAATCTTATTCTGTCCCCTTCTCTCCCCTTTTATCGCGAGTAATGCCATTTATGTTTATTGCTTTCGACTCCCATCTGCTTCATCCTCCCAATAATCTCATTTGTTCAGACTCTTTATGTTGGAATAATTGAAATGGAACCTTCTCAACGAGATGTCCAGCCGGCGGCATCCCCACTTACATCTAACGGGGAGGGATCTCCTTCGCCTGTAAAGGCAGCGCCGGCCCCCAAGCCCGGCAGAAAGCTGCCAGGATGGCTGGATCACTTCAATGCCCGCGATCTTAAGATGCTGTTCCGTTGCTCGCTAGCTGCGTGGGTGGCGATACTGTTGGTTTTCATCATGCCGTCCCTAAGCGTCATTGGTACTGCGACTTTTTTTTCAGCGTAAGCGCATCTATGTATACCATCTCGGTATCAATCGCTAATCCTATTGCGATCAGTCTAGTACTCTTCATGGTGCCTCCGACCGGCATTGTTTTCCTTTTCCTTTTAGGAACTCTGACCCTCGTTATTGGTATGGCTTTGGGCTGGGGCTGGGGTGTCGTCGTCATGAAGGCAGCTATGGCAGCCAGACCGGCGGCCGAGACCCAGGCCAGGCTTCAAGCCCTTGGACAGGCCGCATACAGCCAGGCCAATGCCACCGGACGGCCAGTGGCAGCTGTCCAACAGGAGCTTGTCTACACTGGTTGGATGCTTGACTCTCGTGTCACAGCTGTCTATTATTGCCTAATCTGTTTGTTCATCTATTTAATCGTGAGAATTCCTTGATCAGTCGGAACATGATCATCAGTATACTGACCACTTCCCGCAGTCTCGTCTTCGGGCTATGAACCCCAAATTGATTCTTATGCAGATTTTCGCAATCATCATAATCGACGTTTCTTTGACTATTGGCCCGCTGCTTCCATCGTTCAGCGGTACTATCCCTAAGGTTCTGATTGAGCCTGCCGCTATTGGAATTGGGCTGGGCCTAGTCTCCCATTTCATCTTCTTCCCTCGATCTACCTCCCATGTCGTGCTTGGTGGCATGGAGGGACTGGTGCGGCTACTTAAAGGGCCGCTGGATGCTACGGAGAATAGTCTTCTGAAAGGTGAAGACCTAGCTATGGCAGATTTGCAAAAGATCAAGGTAAAGGCCATTGCTGCTTACAAGGAGCTCAAGCCGGCACTCAGCTTTTTGCCATTGGACTTTTCTGTCGGCTGGTGGGGTGCTGACGACATCAAGACCATGAAGAAACCAATTCGCCAGGCTTTGATAACTAGTTTGTCCCTTCTGGAAGTTCACATCGCCCGCGTCGGGGGATACACGAAGCTAGAAAGGTTGCACCAATTCACTGTGGATCGGGATTCAGACTCCAAACCCCAAGCTAATGGAAATGAGAAAAAACGTCCACGAGAGGCTGGCATGCGCCAGCTGATGGAGAGTGTGAATTTGGTACAAGCATTGCGAAGCCCGGAACATGAATCTATGCGATCGGAAACTATTGAGGTATTGCGCGAGTCCAGCAAGGATATCATCCCGGCGTGCCAGGAAGCTATTGAGATCGTTGCGGAATCGCTTAATACGGTTAACAAGCGTTGGTTCGGTCGCCCTTCCAAGGAACACCTCAATCAGTTGCACGAGCGCAGTCAGACTGCGCTAGAAAATCTTCAGGCCCTGCGCACCTCTTTTGCAACGGAAACCACTGAACGTTTGATTGAGAAACATGCGGAGATCTTCGACGAAAAAGGCATGCTCAAGGCCCTTGACGAAACTTCGTTGCCCAGAGTTCAAGGTATTACTATAGGAATGGTCTTTGAGGAGCAGTTGCTTGGCGTCGTCGACGCGTGGGAGCGGGTCCTGGGACAGCTTGTCGCTCTCCTGAAGGAACGCCAGAAGATCCGTCTGTGGTTACCCAACGGTTTGCGATATGCAGTCAACTGGTTTCGTCGCAAAAATGCCGTGGCACCTGTGGTCGTGGCTCAGGACCCAGTCATCGACCCCGACGTCGCAGAGACGCAGTCCAAAGCGGCACAGCACCATCTTCGCATCAGCAGAGGGTATCGTGTCAATAAAGGCAGCCGCTTTGCGCGCGCCGTCATCGGCACCTATCATTGGTTCATCAACCCGGATGGCCTTTATGCAATGCGCATGGTGGCTGTCACCATCGCACTTTCTATTCCTGCTGCGATTCCTCACACTGCGGGTTTCTATTACCGCGAGAAAGGCATCTGGGCCCTCATTATGGGGCAGACCACACTGGTCATATACATGGCCGATTTCACTTTCTCCCTTCTTTGTCGAACCACTGGTACCATTCTTGGTGGTCTCCTTGGCTTAGTTGCGTGGTATATCGGCTCAGGCCACGGCGAAGGTAATCCGTACGGTCTTGCTGCTATCATGGCTGTTGTGGTCGTGATTCTCATGTGGGGACGTATATTCGCCCCTCCTGCCTTACTTCAAGCTATGATTATGGCTGGTGCGACGTGCATTCTGGTTATTGGTTACAGCTTTGAGGATACGTAAGTAAATTGTACCCTATTGCGAGAAGCAACACAACTGACATACTTCCCAGGCACATCCCAACTTACGGCAATCCTGGTTGGGGATATAGTGTTTTCTGGCGACGACTTGTGCTTGTTCTTATCGGCTCTGCAGCAGCACTAATCGTGCAGCTCTTCCCTCGCCCACCATCTGCGTCGCGACACGTCTGCAAGTCCCTTTCAAATGTCATTCGCTCGCTGTCGGACCACTACGCGCTCCTCTTATCCTGCTGGGGACAAGGGCGCGAAGAAGGTCTGGCTGCAGAGAAGCTGGCTCTTAACGTCGCCGAGAATCTTGCCGGGCTGGACGGGCCTATCGCGTTGCTGCGCTTTGAATTTTCCAGTTCGCTATTTGACAGCGACCGTCTCGGCCAGGTGCAATCGCTGTGCCAAGATCTCAACCAAAACATCGCTCGCCTACTTTACCTATCCGCTTCGCTGCCAGAACAGCTGCAAAGCCGCCTCGCTCGTCAGGCTGGTCTCCTGGACCATCACAATATCGGCGACGTCATGGCTGTTCTAGGCGTGGTTGAACAATCACTCAAGACGGGTGACCCTCTACCCGAGGTGCTGCCAACGCCACTACTCAACCGTTGCCACCATTTCTGGACGTCGCGCCAGGTGGATATTATGCTAAGCAAGGACTTGATTCGCGATGAGAACTACCGTCGATTCTGCGTTGCAGTCAGCGCATACCTCAAGTTCCTGGCTGCAGTGGATGACCTGGTACTCGTGATGAAGGGTACATTGGGCGAGTCGCACATTGTCAGTCGCGACCTGTTGCATGAGCAATATGTATAAAAAGGTATTAACATAATGAGTAGTGTGTATTGTATATAATTGTGCATACGATTTGTCATAAAAATTCACATTCCTCCGCACAGCCTTCTCCAATTTTTCCCCCTCACTCCAAATCCATTCTAGCGCCTTTAAATGACCTTCAATGTTTTGTTTTCTTTCCCTCTCATAAATCATTAATCTTAATTTTAATCTTCAACTACGTCTCATCCCATGGCCTCTCGCCTCGCCCGTCTCCCCCGGTGGATCAGCCACTGGCTCGGCTATCGCCCAGAGGCCGTGAAACCACTCTCTAAATACCAAGTCGCTCTATGGTCCTTCATAACCTCATTCTGTGGTCTATCAGTCGTGCAAGCAATTTTCAATTATTCTGACTATTTCATTGATCGCAATGTACCGGGTATAATCGCATCCTATGTAAGTGGCAAATAGCATCGAGGGAATCACATTCTAAAAAATATTCACATTGACTCACACCTAAACAGGGTGCATCCGCAGTCCTCGTCTTCGGCGCAATCGAAAGTCCCCTCGCGCAACCACGCGCTCTAGTCTTCGGTCACTTCTTCAGCGCTTTAGTTGGCATCTGCGTTACCAAATTGTTCAGCCTAATGCCCGACCAAGCGCGGTTCGAGTCTCTGCGCTGGCTGGCCGCTTCGCTTTCTACCGCTATTGCTATTGTCGTGATGCAGTTGACGGGTACTACCCACCCGCCTGCCGGAGCGACTGCTTTGCTCCCGGCGACCAGTGCCGAGATTTGGCTGCTGTCGTGGTACTACTTACCTGTAGTTCTGCTGTCTTCGGTTATGCTCTTGGTGTGTGCGTTGCTGTTCAATAATTTGCATCGTCGATATCCTGCATTTTGGATCGCGCCTACTCCGCCAAAGGCTGCTGCACCTGCTCCGGCACCTGTTGAGGTTTCATCATTGGAGAAGGCAGCGAAGTGTCCTGTTTGAATTGGTGACTTAGGGGAGTAAGAGATGTTCATTAGCGGAAGAGGTTGTAATACACTTTGGATATGGTTACATGGCATATGCCGCTATCCGTTTGGTGTGAGATGGTGTAAAATGTATGTAAAAACTCGGTTGTACTACTAATTATTCGAGCCTCCTAGGGAAAAGAAATTTAGCATCACTTGTTGTGATCCAATATAGTATTCAACATTGGTAATATTCAAAAGCAATCACTCAGTAGTAGCGACTTGGCAGTCTTCCAATTTCGTGCCGGGTAAATCTCGCAGGACGAATATAAAACCAGTAGGTATCGTCTAAGCAGGACATGATATTCTACTATCTCTTAGTCTAGCCAAGAAGAGCCCGGTATCGTTCGAAACTTTCTAATTTCATCCTACAACCCTATGAGCTTTACCTTGCGGCCCGATACAACGCCAACTTTCCCACATCTCTCCTATTAGTTATTACTAACAGCTACAGCAGTGGCAACCCATTTTCTAGGGCTATTTATCCAACTTGCAACCCCTGGATCTGATTGTGTAGTGAATGTCGGTCTCGTCTCTCGTTTTACTATGTACCCATTTATTCAAAACATTTCTTTGCCTTATAAAAGATCCTTTACTCTTTTCTGCTTGTTCTTTTTTTTCATCTTACTTGACTACTTTCTACGGTTTGGAAATTTAAAGACTCTCACACTTTCATTTGTCCCAATCACAATTTATCCCAACCCTTTGTAGCAATTTGCCTAAAAACTTCAAAACCTGAACTCCAACGCCGAAAAAACAACTTGGCCGAAAAAGTACATCCTCCACCAATTCAAAATCTCAAAAGCAATTTGTCCATAACGCCCCCATAAACAATTTGGTATCGCAAAACTTGACTCAAACACGTGCTCGCCGTGAAACATTGCAGAAAAAAAGAAGAAAGAAAGAAATAATAAGAATCATGTCTCAGAAATACTCACTCTTCTTCGCTCGAGGTAGTCACGTATGAATCGATATCAGTCTCGGGCAGTGGAGAAAGAGGAGGGGATGGGGTGGGGTCCCTCTTGGGCAGATAGTAGTCCATGCATTGACGACAGATGCAACCATCTCCCTTGTAATAGAAACGATTCCAGAAACTGCGAAGCAATGATTGTCTTGCACAGTCTTGCCAGACTTCCTTCTTTTCCCACCGGACCTGCTCAGATTCAATCATCTTGGCGTTGTAAACTGCCTCCCTGTCGACATTGCTGAAACCGGCCAAGGTTAGACTTCCAATTTGCATAGTAGCCATATCAAAAAGCTTGAGTGTGACACGGTTTTCCAGGTCGGAGTCGAGTTGTAGCATACTGATGAGGTCGTCAATCAGATCCATCGAATTCCGACATCTTGCTTCAAAACACTTGCCCTCCTTCTCGGTGCCCTCTCGAATCAGTGTCCACATAGATAGAGTATTAATGAGTCTGTAGAGGTTGGATTGGATTTGATAGAAGGTTCGTCCACCTCTATCTCCACCGGACAGGGCCTCAAGACCCTTGACGAAGGCGTCACGGGTCTCCTGGAAGTTCTTCAGGGCGGCAGCTTGGACATCGGGCTGCATGCTGATGAGAGATAGGTTGTTTGTAGAGAGGTTTGGGTGTAATGAAGAATATAGCTGCTGAGAAAGTCAGCTGCTGATGAAGATGATATGGCGAAGATGATATAATGAAGCTTACTGCCGAGGATGAAGGGGAATATGCTCGTGGAGAATGTCCGTAGACGATCAATGATGAGAGATTAACTGCTGATGAAGTTAGCTGATGCTGGAGATGATATGATGAAGATGATATGAAGAAGCTTACTGCTGATGACTATCGCGAAGCTTCTCACCAAGGGTTCTCGTAGAAGATGGTAGGTGATGATGAAACTGGATGATATTGAAGTTAGTTGTTGATGAAGATGATATGATGAAGCTTACCTTTGGTGAATAAAATTCAATTGAAAGATGAGTGATAATTGATCTTAGATTGAGGGTTATGGGGAGAAGGAAGAAGAAGGAAGAGCGTGAAGAAGAAGAAGCCCTTTATACTCGGACAATTAGATCTAGTGGTCTCAAGATAGACGTACAATTACCACATGCCTCTATCTGTGTACAAGAGAAAGTGAGCTAAGGGATACAGGGGATCTATAGAAGCAATGAGCTAGAGGAGTAAAGGACTTTAGGGCACGATTCCTTCATGCGAAGCCGGACCTTTCATGTTTATCTCTATAAACACTACGTAGAGACTAATTATTCTAGGGCCGTCGAAATTGTATGAAGGACTGGCATCTATAGCAAAACTGTCTCCGATGCTTAACCTATCATGTAGCAATCAGGAGGAATTGAGCTCGAGATCACCAACTATGTAGGAAACCCCTATCTATAGAGACATGCGTCCTTTGATAGGCCTGTGTATAAACAGACAATGGGCTCAATGATATAATTGATCTATATATAACCCATTGGCTAAAGGAATAACCTTTAACTTCGTTCCCGAAGTTCTTTATTTTAATACAGACCTTTCATCCTTTACCTCCATAACCACCAAGTAGAGACAAAATATCCTCTACCGAAGCTGTAAGTGGAATTGGTCATTTAGTTAGTGATACATTGCACAATCACATTCTTACTACCATAAATAAGTGGGAAGTGGACGTCGGACGAACAATGACCCACATTCTCCTTTAATCATGTCACATCACATTCAAGACTCTATATCTTAATATATTTGTGGTTTTCACAGTTGCTGAATGTATAGGACCTATCTACATATGAATTTTCGCATAGGTAGGGTTGCATACATAGTTGGAGATCTCGAACCTAACTCCCCCCCGGTTCCTATATGATAGTTTGCGCATTGGTGACAGTTTTGCTATAGATGCTAGCCCTTCATCCACTTTCGACGGCGCTAGAATGATTAGTATTTTCCTAGTGTTTGTGGAGTAAGAAATGAAATATTCGGCTTTAAATAAAGGATTTGTGCCCTAAACTCCTTGATTACTTTAGCCCACTGCTTCCATAGATCTATTATATCTAACCTAATCCATCTTAATTTCTATATTATGAATCAAGCATTGATGACTGTTTTCTTATGACTGTCAATTCCTTTTACAGTTTTAATAGAGAATGATTAGTCTCTCTTAATGTTTATAGAGGTAAAATAGTAAAGTCCTTTATTCCTTTCGGTCATTATTTGTATAAATCCATTGTATCATATCAGACACAATTCATCCTATCTGCTACGTGATAGATTAAGAATTGACTATGATGTAAGTTGTAAGATCATACCTAGTTATATACTTGTGATATGTGATAATACCCCTTGTCATCCACAGTAACGTGTAGTAAGCAATGAGCTCGAGTCGGCGGATAGCACATCGGCGGACTCCAGCTAAATTTTGCCTTCGGCGTAAAATATGTTTGCAGCTGCGGTTTTGTTCCAGTGCGATGTCAGTTCTCCTTTATTTTTTTTTCTATTTAGACACGTAAGTTCCTCTTATTGTCGCTAGATTTTTCACGGAGTATCATTATACTTTTTCACGCATCATCACAAGTTCAAATTTCGATTAGGCAAAAGAGGGTTGGAGTTTCCCACAGGCTCGGTCAGCTAATCTCTCTTTGAGTAGTACCTCATATACATGCGATGCCCACGAACAGCAAACCTTCCGCGTATCCTTCGGGTCGATAATCTCCTCGATTCCAAACGCGTTTGCTGTACGCACCGGATTCATCAGCCGTAGATACTCTTCTTCCAACTCTTGATATCGTTCCTCCTTCTTACCGACCTTCTCGGCTTCACGCAACTCATGCCGATGTCCAACCTCAATTCCGCCATCCAGAGGCAACGAACCCCATTGTCCAGACGGCCAAGCAACCTGCATAACCGGATCACGACAACCCAGCATAACACCACCCGCCACACCAAACACACGTCGTGTGACCACATTGAATACCGGCACGGTGGTACTGAAGTAAGCCTTGGCGAGCTCGACGCCCCAACGCATTGTCGCCGTGCGCTCAGCAACAGTACCAATAGCATACCCCGCTTTAAACATGTCAGCTCATTTCAATGATTTAGGATGAAATCCTATCACTTACGGACGTCCAAAAACTGCAAAATAGGCAGGTTCATCACATCACACAATTTCAGCAGCCGTGTTAGCTTCTGACTGCCAGCTGCATCCAGCGCCCCTCCATTAACTTCACAATTGAGAGAGATAATTCCAACAGGACGGCCACCCAGACGTGCAAGTCCACCAATTGCAGTACGTCCCCATAATGCTCCAATCTCAAACCAGGAGTCTTTATCAACTACGGATATGATGATTGAACGGGCATTGTACATGCGTGCTTGTCGTCGAGGGATAATATTCCGTAGTGCAACATCCTCGCGCTCCTCCGAGTCGTGGCAGGGAATTGTCGGCGGTGCATCGCTCCCACTGTTGGGGAGATAACTCAGAACTACACGCAGCTGCTCGTAGCACTCTGCCTCATTGGCTGCGAGATTATCAATCGTGCCGTTCATACAATGAACCATAGGCCCACCCAAGTCTTGGAAGTCAAGGCCTTCTTCGAATGTTGCGCCCTCAACAACCTTTGGTCCTGCATTGAACAGTGCTCCAATGTCAGCTGCCATCACAGAGAAGTGGCACGATACTACTCTCGCGGCACCAAGTCCAATCTACACGACCAGTCAGTTTCGCTTATATCAACCAATATAAGATGGGTTGTTAGGTAAAGCAAAAAGGAGAACAAGATAGAAAATAAAGAAAACTCACCGCAGGGCCAACAACAGCACCCAAATTCGGTATCCCCATATTCAACTGCTTGATAACATGCGGAAAAGACGCAACATGAGGAAGATAGCTCCACCCCTCCTTCCGAATCGTCGTAACACTCCCACCCCCAGAACTCCCATCAACAAGCTTAACAACCGGCAAGCGCAGCGCAATAGCAAGTTTCTCCACATAGACCGTCTTACCTACACTCGCGCCGTCAGCATGTCCAGACCGGATACTAAAATCATCAGTCGTAAGAAGGACCTTCCTCCCACGAAGCAGTCCGGCCCCTTGGACGTTATTGCTGGGTACGAAGGAGACGGGTTTCTCGCGCATCGGCGCAGTCTTTTGCCATGTCACCGTACCGGAAACGGACCCAATTTCTTGGAAACTGTTTGGGTCTAAGAGTTCTTCAATGCGCTCGCGCACCCATAGCTTGCCTGCTTGCTTTTGGCGGACATAGCCTCGGTTGTTGGGGTCTGGATTTGCAGCTATTGCGCGGAGCATCGCTAGTTGATCTAAGACATCTGAGTGGTCTGCCGGGAGGTGGCTTTCTGTGGACTTTGACTTTGACTTGGGCTTTCTTGTTTGGTCTTTTAGTGGGGATATATGGGATGAGACTTGGTTTAAGCGATCGGTGGCTTGGTCTTTGCCTGTTCTGGTTGATGGGTTGTCATTGTCTTTGGTCATGATGTATCAATTGATTTGGGCTGGTTTGTTCTCCTCGTGTACAGTGTACAGTGTGTGTGTATGAGTAGAATTGGAGATTGTTTAAGGATTTAGTCTACTGAGGGGGGTAGTCTGACTATCCGAGAGCCGAGGTCAACCATGTCGAGAGTTATAATATCTTAGAATCTTCCATTTGATCTCTATTTGAAAGACATTGTAATTTTTTATAATCGATTTCGTTGATCTGGCTTGCTTAAGCTTTTGCATACAATTTCCCCAGATTTCCCCAGATTTCCCCAGATTTTCCCCCTTTCGCCCCAATGTCATCCCTGCAGTCACGACCCATCAGGCGATTGTTGGTCGCCAACAGGTATGACCTTCTACAACTAATATTATAACATGCCCTAATATTCACTAGAGGAGAAATTGCCGTTCGTATTTTCCATGCAGCAAGAGAATTACCCGAGCCAGTCGAGACATTCAGTCTCTATACATCAGACGACCAATCACACTGCGATCTAGGGCGACCGCAGCATGCGATTGAAATTCCATCGGCGTCATCATATCTCGACATTGCCCTTCTGATAGGAATAGTTCAAAAACACTCTATTGATGCCGTGCATCCCGGGTATGGATTCCTTAGCGAGAGCGCCGAATTCGCGTATCGCATGTGGCACGAAGCTGGGTCACTCGTCATTGGGCCTGGATGGGAAAATCTCGCCCGAACGGGTGATAAGCTGCAGGCAAAACAGCTAGCGCAACAGTGCGGTGTCCCTGTATTAGAAGCCATGAGTCACCCTACCACGAACGTGGACGAGGCACGTGCGTTTTCTACGAAAGTTGGTTTCCCGGTTATGATCAAGGCTGTTGATGGCGGGGGTGGTCGTGGGATTCGCCTCATTCGCGAGGAGCATGAGCTGAATAATAGTATTCAGAGAGCGATTGGCGAGTCGCCGTCTAGGACTGTCTTTGTTGAGAGAGCTGCTGTGGATGGGTTTCATCACGTTGAGATTCAGATTATTGGTGATGGAACGGGTCAAGTACGACATCTGTGGGAAAGAGATTGCAGTGCACAGCGGCGGTTTCAGAAGGTGGTTGAATGTGCCCCAGCTTTGATGCGGGATAGAACTTTGG